ATCAGTTGAACTGACCGTGTGTGGTGAGATAAGAGCTTTCAAAGCGTGGGCGTGGCTTCCCATGCAGCCGCAGTGTGTGATAAGGTACATGGGCCAGATATAAAGACTTAAAATTGCTTCAATTCGTGTGCGCCAAACACAGATTAACAATATACGTAGGTATAAATTAGACTTTCCAACCTTTTAATTAATTACTTTTAAATTTAAAATTATTTTACTTTGAAATCATATCCTTTCGTCTTTCTTCGAGCCTTGTAACAATAGAATTTATTTATTTACGCTTTATTGTACACCTTAATTAAAAAAAAGATTACATTAATCCTTTTGGAATTTTTTCCCAGTCAACACGATTTACCTACGATAACTTAATTACAGCCCTTCACAAGTAAACTGCTGAACATAGGCCTCCCCTAAGTAACGCCACAAAGCACGGTCCTGAGCCACCTGCACCCATCGACTTCCTGCATATCTTACCAGGTCGTCACTCCATTTAGTGGGGCGTCGCCCTACACTACGCCTACCGGTACGAGGCTGCCACTCGAGAACCTTTCTTCCCCATCGGTTATCGGTTCATCGAGCTATGTGGCCAGCCCATTGCAACTTCAGCTTACTAATCCATTGGGTAATGTCGGTCACTCTGGTTTTATTGCGGATATCCTCATTTCTGAGTCTATCACGCAGAGAAACTCCGAGCATAGCCCTCTCCATAGCTCGCTGAGTGACCTTGAGCGTCCTCATACGGCCAGCAGTGAAGGACCACGTCTTAGATCCGTAAGTCATGACTGGCAACACGCACTGGTTGTACAATCTAGTTTTTAGAGATTGAGGTATACCTGACGACAAGATATGTCGTAATTTCCTGCCCAGCCGAGTTGAATCCGTCGATTTACCTCTTAGTCGAAGTTGAACTTACCTAGTCAGACTATTTGTCCCAGGTAAACGTACTCGTCAACAACTTAGTGCCGAGTATAGTGCTCCCAACAACTACCGGCATAAGTGTGACATGGACATTAAACATGATCTTTGTTTTGTCCATTTTCATCTTAAGGCCTATCCGTTGGCAGGCACTATTGAGGTTATTGAGCATAGTGCTTAAGTCCTCCAGCGATTCTGCCATAAGGAATATATCGTCGGCAAATCGAAGGTGAGTGATGTACTCGCCATTGATGTTAATACCGTATCCTTTCCAGTCCAGTAGCTTGAAAACGTCTTCCAATGCAGCGGTGAAGAGTTTCGGGGTTATAACGTCACCCTGTCTTACACCTCTCTGCAGTTGGATAGGTTTCGAGCTCTGGTTCTGTACTGCCATTTATATAGCCATCGTAGCCCTATTGTACAAACACTTCAGCACTTCGATATACCGACAGTCAACTTGACACCGCTGAAGGGACTGTAGTACCGCCCAAATTTCGACGGAATCAAAGGCTTTCTTTTAGTCCGTACATACGCCAGGCAAAGTGGCAGATTGTACTCTTCGGTCTTCTGTACAATCTGCCGCACAGTATGTATGTGGTACTGAAGCATTTTCGGAAACCGGCTTGTTCGGGAGGCTGGAAGTCGTCGAGTCTGCGTGCGATACGATTCGTAATGACTCTCGAAAACAGCACGTAGACGCGGCTCAGAAGGGAAATCGGTCTGTAGTTCTTCAAGAGAGCGTTGTCGCCTTTCTTAAAGAACAAGACCACCGCACTTCTGCTCCACGCCTCTGTAGTAGTGCCACCATGGAGGACGGAATTGAAGAGCTTCTGAAGGACTTCAAATACCGGTGTTCCACCTGCTTTGAGAAGCTCCTCTGTAATTCCATCCTCGCCTGGGGCCCTGCCGTTTTTAAGACGCTGGAAAGTCATTTTAATCTCGCTTAGACTGACGTTCGGGATATCATCGGAATGGTGTCGGATAAGACTTGCTCTTGGATCGTTACTCACACTTGCGTGTGGCTCCAACGATGATGTGTACAGCTGCCCATTGAACCTCTCAATCTCACTCAAAATCTCAGGTGTCCCGGAAACGATGCTGCCACACTCAGTTTTCAGCTTTGACAGTTGGCTCTTTCTGGCAGACAGATCTCTGGCAAAGACTTTGGAGCTCTGGTTCCGCTCGATCGCTTCTTTAATACGAGTACAGTAGTAGTAGTAATACAGAGACAGTATTAAAGTTGTGTAAGTCTCGCCGCATGCATTTGGAGATCTGTCTGTTCAGTTGCCTGTATGCTGTCAAATCTGTTGACGATTGCAGCCTCATCTCCCGTCTAACAGCCATGAGATTAAGAGTGTGATCGGAGAGTTTTTGTGTTCTTCTGCGGCGAGTCTTGCAGAACTTAGCTCCGACCGCATGGACAGTTTCCACGAGCTTGTCATTCATATCGTCCACTGCATTGCAATCTTCTAGGCACTGAAAGCGGTTACGTAACTCGAGCTGAAAGGTTTCGGGATTCTGGATTAGAGCACGAGGGGGACGGAGCGTTGATGTCATTACACGAGACCTCTCCAACTTAATGTTTAGGTTCAGTGTGCCTCTATCCATTCGGTGATCGCTGCCAGTTTTCACCCTTGCGATCACTGAGACATCACTGAACAGTTGGCGTCAGGTCGGCATAATTAATTCAATCTCACTTTTTGTCGAACCGTCGGGGCTCGACCAGGTCCACTTTCTGTGTGGCCGCTTCTGGAAGAAAGAGTTCATCTTAAAAAGTCCTTCTTTCTCCATGAAGTCGGCCAGCTGTCGGCCCCTTAGGTTCCGTTGCCATATCCCAAATTTCCCTACCTTCAGCTCACCGTTCTTTCTTGTGCCCAGTTTTGCGTTGAAGTCTCCCATTAACACCGTATAGTGAGTTTTGGAGGAATGAATGGCTCTAGAAATATCCTCATACATTTCCTCCACCTCCTCATCGGGATGTTCCGACCGTATGACCTTCAGCGAATACCGTTTGGTGATTCTGAGTATAAGGTACGCAACTCTCGTCGATACACTCCCAATCTTTAAAACGTTGTTAACGAGAGACTTTTGGAAGATAAATCCAACACCTCCTTGGGACAGATGGTCGCCCTCCCGGTGATAGAACAAGTTGCCGGATTAGAGAATCACTGTGTCCTCCCCCTCTCTTAGGACCTCGGAGAATCCTATAATATTCCTGCGCAACTTGTCTATCTCTTCTTCCAGCTCTAGGATCTTCTCGTCAGTCCTCAGGGTGCGTGCGTTAAATGTTGCCAGGTCGAGTCGTCGTAGGAGGCAACCGAACCTCCACCGGAGATTCTTAGCACCCCCCTGCCCCGCCGTTACCATGGTCGCCACCGTAGCCAGGAATAGCGGCGCCACCGGGGACTAGGGGCCGTCTATTTGTGTAATTGTTCATGGGGATATATTGCCATAGTTGCCACGCTTAGCGAGCGGGTTGGAAACCGCAGTTTTTTTTGTCGTACCGTTGCTGTTATCAGGAAGATGTTGCTGCCCATCTCCTGCCTGTTTCCCTCTGTCGCCTTTTACGACACCCACGGGAAGATATGTGGTAGTGGATATTCTTAGCCGCCACTATACGGCAAACTGCCTGACTTCATCCATCCATCCATCCATCCATCCATCTTCAACACTGACTTCATCCGCCAAGGAGGAATTCCCTTGAAAACAAGTCGTAAATCAAAATGGAAACGTTATCACAAGTATTAAGAGATCTTCTGTTAAAACATGATCCTTCCCCAGTCGGACGGATCTATTACTGCTCAATAAAAATGCTATTTTTATAGAGCCTCATTGCATTGCCTCATGAAAAACATAGCTTTTCTACGAACATATTCTTCTTCATCATCATAAGTCTATAAAAGTTTAATGCTGGGCGTTTATATATTCCATTGTAGCACAGAATAAATAACAGTACAAGAACAGAAGGATCACTTTGTTATAGCAAACTTGCGAGTTTAAACCTAGTTACAACGTTGCTAATGTTCATAATACTTTGCACGCCTCGGAAGCGACCTCGGTGAAATTAGCCTACCGAATAAAATGACAAAAAAATAATGCAGCGTGTGTATTACATCAAAATGCACCTTACATACGCGTGCGAGTGTCTATATTACTTAGCTCGTTACACGTCTTTATCAAGGCCACGCATACTGTAGTGATGTTGTGAAAAAAAAAAGAATTCATTGATATTAGGTCGATATATCGAGGTGTTATGCAATATACTAAAACATTAGTGTTCAATGAGAGGAAGTAATATGCAACATATAGAAAAATTAAGAAAATAACAAAGTGAACGTATTTGAAACTCAATAATTTACCTATTTACCATTTTTGATTCACATTTTTTGCTACTTACAAATATGTGACACGCAATGGCATTACTAATGAAATAGCCTCTTGTAGGCGGTCACGCAGCGTAGGCTGTATATTTTCATATCTAAAGCGCGGAGTGAGAGAGGCCTAGTTGTAGGGAGTATTTTACATAATTGTAACTTTTTTACTAAAAATCCACTGCTGTACATAGGCAATATTTGGTATATTGCCTTACAGAGGGATATTTGCCGTAGTTGCCATGCGTGTCTGGAACTTTGTAGCGTTGTCAGGATTTTGCGTTGCCATCAAGAAGTCACTGTTGACCATCTACTATTTAATTTATTTCTGTTGCCTCTTACGACACCGACCAACAAGAGAATCAATGCTATATTATCACTGAGGCAGTATTCTTTTGGACACCACACAACAGTATTATTACCAATTAGTAATTTGTACTATGTACTCGTATGTTTGTTAATGTTGTGTGTTGGCCAAATAAATCTTTCTTTCTATCTGTTTTTTAATTGCTATATGTGATATTTATTTATTTGTCCTTAATTATACACTTTAAATAAAAGGATGACAAAAGGTGGACTTAATATATTCTACAATGCGAAATTAAAATAATCAGTTGAAACTGTTTCAAGTGGTACTAAATAAAACTCATAATAGTATCATTCATATTATTTTATTTCACGAACAATTTACAACCGGTTGTTATTTAACATTGGTTATAAATCATATCGGAACCTGTCCCAGGACGAAATTTCCTGAAACAGTGCTTGTCCGGGACATTCGGTACTGACAACTTGTCGATGTCCGACTAACGAATAGTCTGAGCTAATGTAGCCCAGCTCTACTCCAGTTGCGATTAGCTTCTTAACTGTTTCTAGTTGATGTGAAGGAGGTGCTTCAGCTGTAACAATACGAAGGAAAATGTTAATTCATTTTATTTTTTTGAAGTCACTGCCTGCGGCAGCATCGTGTTATGTTGTCGTTGATGATGACATGTATAAACGGGTGTAACGTGAGCACCGGTATGCTCAGGTTTGCAAATTTGCAATGCACCGATGAATTCCAAAATTTTATGTCCAAGTTTTTCATCCTAGAATTGAATTTGGTGGATCATTTTTTTATATTAAACTTTAATAATATTTAGACCGTAAAGAAATTACAAAAACAAGTTACAAAATTAAAACCATTTTGTACAACCAACTTCAATAGAAATAAAATGAGAACAATTATGTGACGGATGCATTATTAAGAACAACACTCAGAAACTACTGGTCAGGTGTTGATCAAATTCATATGACACTACATGAAAAGCACCAGCTTACAAATAAAAAAAATCATCAAAATCAGTTCACCTAGAAAAAAGTTCTGATGTAACACACAAAAAAATACAGTCGAATTGAAAACCACCTCCTTTATTGAAGTCGGCTAGAAAGAATTATTGTTAAATTTCTTTTGCCGTTTTTGACATTAACATTTGAAATAGACAGTTGACAAATGTAGTTTTAATTTGTTAAATTGAAGAAATAAAGATATTTAATTTCACTTATTATTATGACCATCAAAATATAAAGTTTGTACTCTTTACAAGCAAGAACAAATTCCAGGGGTACTTACAAACCCAATCACCTATTAGAACTATCCCAATGCTCATAACGTTGTATCCATAGGCATGCGCTCCAACTGCCTTCCACCCACGACCTTCGTATACAGCCCCATCTCCACCCACTGCGAAGCTGCATTTAGGAGTATTAGACATTTTTTTTAAATATTCCATAAGAAATTCGTTGTGATAATTTCCTTACTTCAACATAGATCCTTGAATTTAGGCTCATATGAATAGTAGTGAACATTTTCATCTCGCCTAATATTCCGAAAGGAGATGATAAAAGCTCTAAATTTACTAAAAGATGCCCATTTTTCAGCTGACTATATATAGAAATGAAATAAATCTTAAAATTCAGCTAATTGAATTGTAAATTAATTACGCTCATCACAATGTTAAAAGAAACGCAGGAAAAAATATGTTTTAATATTTCTTTAAGTTTATTCTACGACAAGGGTAAACGTACTACTATATTTTGAACGCATCTCAACTACCCTTTTTCTAGGACGTTCCAATTTACACACTGCTACTTTACTTTATTCAACTCTGTTTCTGAGTTTTATGCATTATTTTATGTTTCTTTTAATCAGTAAGGTTTTTTATTAGTCTTTATAGTACATATTATTAAAAATATAATAATTAAATAAATTAATCATTCTGTATGTTATCGCACGAATGAAATAGATTTTTTTTTGATATTCGACGGTTCTGCAATTGGCATCGGCGCAGTCCTTCGTTGATAATTAATAAACCATTCCATTTTATTTGTTTCCCTATTTCGTTTAAAAGGTATGTTTGTAAGTATGTACCATAGGCCAACTAAATGTGTTTGGTTGATAAGTGATCATTTTAACAATATAAGAAACAAGTTACACTTTTCAGAGATATAGAAACTATCTATCGTTTTTTGACTAAAATGTAGTTAGTCAGTACTTGTAATGCGTACTGGAGAAACAGTAAATAGTGCTCGACACTCAATGACTCATTTCATAAACTTACAGGTAGTTTTTTACTATTCCTTATAACTATGCATAATCTTTATCTATCAGGTTTTTAAATGTATGGAAAGACGGCATGATTCTTTGTTTCATCTATGTTTTTCCTTTATCTCGAAAGTACATTGTCACTAAATGGAATGTTGATATTGACACTTTTTTATACAGGTACTGAGGTTTTGATTATACAGGTACTGAGTTTATATACCGAAGAGCGCACACGCGCACACACACACACACACACACACACACACACACACACCACACAATTTAAAAAATTTTGAATATGTAAAGATAATAGATACTTGTATCCAATGTCGTTCCATTTCTGTGTCAGTTGGTGGTAGTTTTGCATGGAACGCATAGCACTTTTACAATCTTCCCTAGTGTAGCATGCTCCAGGTTGATAAGAGTGGTGAATGATTACGTAGGGCACCGGGAGGTTCAACTCAGTGATACCGGTGGGTGGCCTCGCCTCCCATTCTTGTCTTGATACAAATTCGAAGTTGTTGGACACTGAAAAAGCCTTGTGTTTATTAGATTGTCTGTAAAGATAACATTCTAACTTCTTCAACCTTATCCATTCAAAAGCGCTGAATCCAAATCTCAGAATCTCAAAGATTCGCGATGAAGATCAGCATTATCAACTCGAGGGTGTTTGTTACTTGATAAAACTACCATCCACCCATTACAGTTCGTCAAAAATAAAAAGTCGACAGATGAACATAGATCTCTCTCTTAGATTGCCTCTTAGAGTAGATGTTTGCCATAATTGCTACTCTAGGCAAGTGTGTTGGAAACCCTAGATTTCCTGTTTATTTCCCCTCTTTCCTTCTTTTGTTTTACTTCCCCTTGTCTGTTACGTCACCCACGGGATGATATGGAGTGGGTGGATTCTCATACGATGATACTGCATGTTTTACTAAAAAAGTTGACCTTTAAAATTATAAAAAAATCTGACACTAAACAACAACAATTGCATTATAAAACCAACCACTAGATTCCTACAACAAAGCGCGCAAGTTTTTAACCAGTTACTAGATTCCTTAGTCAAAACACCCACATGGTGAGTCTCGTTTTGGTGGTTATGAAAATTATGAAACAAATAATAGGTCGGGGAAAAATCGTCTTTCATAAAAAGTCTTTTATAAAATATGCGTTTCTGAATAAATGTACAGGATTAATAGTGTTTTTTAAATATGTTGTTAACTACAAAGCATGGTATTATTTAAAAGAACTTATAACGAGTTTTAGTGATTATCAATTCCACTACATATTTTACTTTTTTGGTGTAAATCAGTGTTTCGAAATCCGGTCAACGGACCTTGGAGGTCAGTTGACCGGTTATCGAAGAATTTAATCCAGATCTAAGGATGTTTGAAGGTGTTTTATTTTTAAATGATCTTATTACAAAAATTCTCAGCCCTTATTAAAGCAAGATAAAGCGTTTCGCTACTGCTAATTGTAAGGACAGCGTGTTGATGGTCTTTTTATGTCCTAGAAACATAATTTATAATTAAATATGTAGGTATCGTCACGATTATTTTATTCTGCATCCTTTTTGGTTTCATTATAGAAATATTATTTTAAAATATATGTTTTAATTGAAGTAAATGCGATAGAATATATTTAATCTGTTAGAAAATGGATGCTGCTGCTCATATTTCTGTCTCCGATTAAGAATCAAAACGCATGCGTTGTCACCTCCGAGACTACAATAGAATGCCTCGTGACCAGTAATCAGTCTGATTTTCTCACCACTACTATACTATACGTTTCATTAACTCCCGACGAAAATGAGGGATGCTATAAGTTTGACCGCTGTGTGTGTTTGCCTGTCTGGTGCCACCGTAGCTCGTAAACGGATGTACCGATTAGGGTGCGGTATTTCTAATTTAAAAGCTGGTTTTCTAGCGGTGGTTTTTAGATATGTTTTATCAAAATCGCTTTAGCCGTTTAAAAATCAGCTTTTTGTTTCGGGGTTTTTTTAAATTTTCAATTCAGGGTATGCTATTACTTTACATTGGTAAGAGCGTGGTTCTTCCCCGGATGAGCCAACGCTATCGTTTTGCAGCTGAAATGTGGTTCAAGCGTACAAAATTACTGAGATTTGTTACTGTTATTGTAAGACTTCATCTAATTACTCGAATATTTACTATCCTTAAACGAACAAACTTACCACTTTGTTTTTTAAGTTGGTTCCTTGGATGGCTGTGCGTAGTCACAACCAGTCCCAGAACAAATGCTACCGTCCAAAGTAACATATTTTCTGAAATATAAATAACAAAAAAAATTTATTTTTTTAAATTAACATAAGTAATGATTTTTATATTTACGCGAAATTGCACATGATTAAAACGATTTCTTTTTTTTTTTTTTTTAACATAACGTATTTATTAAATGAAAAAAAAAAACATTATTACGTTATAAAAGTTATATACGTAATATAACGATGAAGATTAAAATCTATAAGAGCTGTTAAGATTACACTAAAATCATTAGAAACTCAAGCAAGATAAGATCAGCGCTTTTATTTTTTATCAGATTGTTGTTTCAATGCTTATCACGACTACTGAAACTACTCATTAATCTCAGCTAATAGATGCCTGTTCTGAAGTACATTAACACTTTTCACTTTATTGATCATTGTTAGTCTATGAAAATATTTTTTTTAAATGTCACCTCTAAACTAGGATTTTATTCTGTATGGAGGCAGTTTACGTACTCAATGTACGAGTACACATGGGTATACTTCCAGACCGAGAATAAATATGAATAAGTCAAAAATAATTGTTTCGTGCGGGAATGAAATCCGCAACTCAATGTTAAGCCATTGTTCCTTCATAATCAAAAAATAATACTATGATATGATTAAACTATGAGTTTATCTTTTTTGATAATGTTAATTAATCATCAAAAATAACTTTACATAACCTATATACGTTTGATTCATGAATTAGGTAGCTTACAGAAAATGAAAATTCTGCCTACAGCTGTAGCTATAGATATCTCAGAAGTAAACTACATACTTTAGAAGGCTTTATGGTTCGCTTAATGTCTAGAAAGCTGTCAGCCTATTCCCTCTTTATTTTCTGGGTTACAACACTGTTCACTGTGCAGTGGTGGTGTAAACATATCCACTATCCCTTCACATCCCGTGGGTGGTGTGAGAGGTGACCGCGAGAGACTGGAACAGGAGATTAGCAGCAGCATCTTTCGATCTTATTAAGATACTGTTGCCAATCCACCAGTTCAATATGGCCGAATCCGTGTGGGGGAGGCATATTTTCAACTGTTGGCTTTTGACAATCTCCTATTAATGAATTAATAGATAATAATAGAACCAGAATAATTACAGACTATTATCAAGGACTACATAATTATTGTGTTCTAGTTCTATGATACATGTCCATTTTTGTTTGAATTCTGCCAGTATTCATGGCATTTTAATTACTTTTTCGATGCCTAATGTCGTTTAGGTAAAGAAATTATTGCATTTCTTGCTTTCGTATTTCTACATACGTCCTAATATTTTTGATGATAAAGTGCTACTATATTTTCAACTCAATACTGATGATGAAATTATTTAAAATGTTTTAATACGTGGTTTGTCTGTACACTTTTCGCAAATTAAAAAAAATTCAGTGATGTTACGTTTGATTTATATCAGGTTAATAAAACCTTTAAAGTAATCACGTATAATAATTAACATTATAAACGTTCAATATCTTTTACGTAATAAAAATCTATCAGCCTACATTCATAATACCTAGGCTGCACTAAAAGTATCGGGAATGGAATATTTCCACTGTTCCTGTCATATTAAAATCTTTTTAATTGAAAACTCCTTGGTTTTAAAAATCGAATACCATTTATTTATTTAAAAAAAGATTCTCGGTCTCGTCACGAGGTTTTGTCAAACTTGTTTAGTCGTTGAGAAAATGGAATTGACTCGAGGAAATTCAAGAGCGATGATTTATTATGACATTCGAAGTGGTTTAACACAAAAACAGTGTGTTGACCGGATGATTTTGAAAACTGTAGTCACCCAAGAAAACGTTGATGCTGTGCGTAAGCTTATTGAGGAAGATCGACATGTGACATACCGCGAAATTCAGGCAACTTTAGACATTGGCTTGAGTCAAATACAAATAATCTTGCATGAACAATTAGGTGTAAAAAAGTTGTTTTCCCGATGGATACCGCATTCGCTCTGTGAAGAGCAAAAAGCGGCTCGCGTTACTTGGTGCGTCAGAACTCTCGAAAGATTCCACGCAGGATCCTCAAATGCTGTATACAACACCGTATCAGGTGACAACTCCTGGATATATGCGTACGAACCCGAAACAAAAAAGCAGTCACGAGTTTGGGTGTTCGAAAATGAGTTAAAGCCAACAAAAATTGTTGGTTCACGGAGTGTTGCAAAAAAAATGGTGGCCAAGTTTGTCTCCAAAACCGGCCATGTTACGACTATTCCTCTTGAGGGTCAAAGAACGGGTAATGCAGAATGGTATGCTAGCATTTGTTTGCCACAGATCGTTTCTGACTCCGTAAAGAGAACTGCAACCGCCGCATCATCCTCCATCACGACAATACGAGTTCTCACACCGCACACAGAACAAAAGAGTTTGTAGAGCAAGAAAACATAGAATTATTAGACCATCCGCCGTACAGCCCCGACCTAAGCCCTAATGATTTCTATACATTCCCTAAAATAAAGAATAAATTGCGTGGACAGAGATTTTCATCACCTGAAGAGGCTGTGGACTAGTAAAAAAAAAACATGTTCGGGTACGCACACTGTCTCTACAGCACAACACTAAACACCAACTAAATGTTTATTTTTTTTTGTTTTGATTTGTTTCTTTGTTTGCACATATTCACACAATTTTATGAAAAACTAAAAATTTAATCATGCTAGTGATTGAATATTTACCTATAAATTTAATTTTATTCCTCACGAATGTTAAGCATATACTTGGTCTTGATTTACAGTGTCACATCAGAGGTAAGACTAACTTTCAAATAATGTTCCATGTGAATATTGTTAATTATAATTGTCTGTATAGTCCGTGTCCTAAAATTCAAATCAAATTTAATCAAAATAGAATCATAATCGATGTTAAAAATATATCACATAATTATATATTTTAATAATTAATAATAATTATATATTATATATATATATATATATATATATATATATATATATATATATATATATATATATATATATATATATTAAGACTGCAAATTGTGTCAAATTGAAATATAATGTTCTTGATAAATTTCAAAATTTAATGCAAATGCCCTAGAATTTATGTATTAAGGCATACACGCATGTATTGCGTGAATACATACTTGTTTGTGTATATATTTATGTATATAAATATTTGTCTGATTTTTGTGATAGTAACAAACTTTCATATGGCTCTGGCGGAATATTTATAACAATAGTTTTGTTATAATTATTCTGCCCGAGTCAAACATACCAGGGTGAAGAATTTGGTGAAGAATTCCAACCATTGCAGATAGCTCCAAACGTAGCGGGCTATTGAACAAGATCAGTAAGGAGGACGTTTTAAGAGCCCTTAAAAACTAACAAATAAACTCGAACAATATAATAATAGCAGCTGTAGCAAGAGCGAGTTTCTGAGGTGCAGTTTTAGTGAACAATGTACGCTCAACATAAGTGTCTCCACCGACGGCCAGCATCTTTAAATACCTCGGTTCAATGCTAACGGCGGATGTCAATATCGACGAATCTCCACGCAGAAGAAACCTATAGGATTAATGCAGAATTACTAAGGTAAAGAAACCTGATAGAAATACTTTGCGTTAATAGGATGCCAATACAGCTGAAAAGCAAAATTTAAAAAACGGCCGCAAGACCTGCTTTTTATATGGTGCCAAGAGCTGGGCGGCTAAGATACATGAAAAAAGGATATACATGAATAAAATGAAAATGATACTGAGGCTTGATAAATTGCGCAATGTGTATGTACATCAGGGGCTTCTTTAAATTTACGTTCATAGTAGACAGTCGAGAGTCGTATGCAATGGTGTGGGTATGTCATGAGGTGGGAAGAAGAACACTACGTAATTAGGGCCTTGGCAATTCTAGAGGAAAAAGGCAGAGGACGCCCGTTAGCCACGTGGTCGACAACCATGTCAAGGATCGGGAACGAGCATAGCTTAACATGCAACCAAGATAGAATATCGTGGTAAACAAAAACCAAAAGAGCCAACACCAAATAAATAAAGTAAATTAGTAAAAGAAGAAGAAGATTTTTCCATTATCTGTCGGCTGTTACAATATTTGGCTTTTATGGTTAACAATAATCCATTTTAAAATGTTTGCTAACAGTTTAAGTTTGCGTTGCAAATTAACTTCTAGTATGACTAGACTCCTTCTCTTGCTAGGAGTCCCCCTGGGTCGGTATGACCCTCTTATCCTTTTCTACCGCCAAGTAGAAGTGGTACAGAAGCCAGTATAGTTACAGCATGTAATTCTTTGTTGTTGCAGGTATACCTGGACCGCATTATATATATATAGTAATTACACTTATTAAGTGAAATGTAAATTCGTTCAACACTTCAATTTAGATATGTATGTTATAGATATAAATGTTATTCGAATAACACATTCTTAATTTCTTACCTGGATATAATCGATTACTTAATACCGATAAATTAATTATCTTAATTGCAATGCGAAAATAAATACCATAAAAATTAAAATGAACGCTGTGTTTAAAATATTGGCATGATATTGCATATTTTACCGATATGGGGAAAAATTAAAATAGTTTGGCTCTTAAATCCTTATAATTCATTTTAATACAACCTGTATAAGAAAATTATGAATCAGTCGATACGCTCAAAGATAATATGGACAAGGTTACTCGTCTATCTGTGTAAAATTAGTTCGATAATTAAGAATATCGATGTATTATGTATTCAAATTACCCATGAAGTTATAAAATTTTGATATAGTAAATAATCGGAATGCATGGCACAGTGGCCAGTAATAATTTTTTTGAAAATACGATTTTTAACAGGTAAAAATACGAATGTTTCACTTTCAAATTTCCTTCCTTATTTTTAGAGCTTAATCAAAATAAAATTTCATTGAAAAATGAATCTCCATCGGGAAAAATTTCCCCCGATGAGTGTTTACCATTTCAAATGTGCAAATCTTTTGGTAGACTTGAAATCGCTTTAATGCAAACATGCATACCCTTCTAAAGCTACCGTGTACCGCTGATATAAACATTTTCAGCATTGCTAATAACTTATAGATGAAGAAATAAGTAGTCGCCCTTTGTGGGCTGTTATAGTAAAAAACATGATGGCAGTGAAACATTTAATGGAAGAGAATAGTTGAATTATGTATGAATAGATTCAACACATATTGCAAATTGGATCAGGAAGCTTTCACAAGATTAAGTCAACGTGGTCTCGTTAAAAGGAAGGCCAAAACATCTTATGATTAATTTCGAAGCATATTTTTGTTTTTGATTTGTTTGCGGTAATCTAATTGTTAATAGCAATTTTAAATTTATTAGAACATGCTCGGTGGTGAAGCAAAATATCGCGGAGAAGCCTGTGTGTCTAAAGAAATAAAAACTTCAAGGACGTCAGAAAGTCCGCCAACTGCATTGGAGCAGCATAACGGTCTTAATTACTCCTTAAGGGGAAATATAACCTCAAATGGCTTAGCAAGATCCTCCGTTACGCCAAAAATATTGCAGCATTGATTTTCAAATAAATATATGGTAAAGTTGAGGATTAATGTTAAGTACTATGTTAGACGAAAACATGATTCCGTAAAATTTTCTAGATAGAAAAAAAATCCAAAGTTACCTCCAAACTGAACAATAAACCGCTGTTATTCATAAAATACTTTAAATAAGATCATGAAACTTTGCATACTAACTGAACTAACTATAAAGCAGGGCTTATATTTTTTATTTTTTTTAATTACCATTATTTTCACAGTAAAAAGAAATTACCTAAACTATCGGCGTCCTGAAGCTTGTTTCCTGCTCGGTTCCAAGCTTCAGGACGCCGACAACATTAACATTAATCCTCAACTTTACCATATATTTATTTAAAAATTAATGCTGCAATATTTTCGGCATAACGGAGGATCTTGCTAAGCTTGAGGTTATATATCCCCTTAACCCTTTCAGAAATGAGTGGAGGCCTGTGCCCTGCAGTGGGAGTTATGTAGGTTGTATCTTATGTAGTATTTTTATATAAACAGCAATTCAATTAATTTGAAAAAAAAAAACTGTCATTAATTATATTGTCTCAAAAGCTAATATTTTGATCTCATGATAATGATAATAATATTTTTAAGCCTTTTGATTGGATTAAGGAATATCAATATCGTCTTGATATAATGATTTCTTATATTTACGCGAACACTACACATTGAAATAATACTAGTTTTTACGGAATTTATCGCGTATATTTAACTTTTTAAATACCCGACGTTTCGTTCAAGATACCATAAGTTCATACTGCATAGATCGGAACAAAAGTTAAAATTTTTAATCTATGGTAACCGCGGTTAACTATGACATATGGACGTTGAACATCTCAGTCCCGCCCGTGACCATGAGTGCTGTAAAGCGTTCGAAACGTCGGGTATTTAAAAAGTTAAATATACGCGATAAATTCCGTAAAAACTAGTATTATTTCAATCGTCTTGATAGTTACAGTAACTTCATTCTCTATTTTACTAAAAGTTTTGCAGATAAAAAGGGTTTTTCATCATACATCTTATCTTCCTTCCTGCTTGCACCCCTGATGCACCTATTTATTAAAATAAAAACCCATCAAATCAGTTTTCTATTGACGAAGCTATCGCGTTCCATACATACAAAACCTATCTACACAATAATAAAAATAAATTATTTGACAAAAGTACATACATAACTGTTATTGTATTTCATCACTTACCCAATAGTTTTAAAACGATAAACGGACCCTAATACAAATTAAAACTAAAAACATATTTGGTGGAGCAAACATTTTACACGATAGTACTTCATTCTTGTAAGCATTTTAAATATTTAATCTAATAGTTCACCACAAATCTATTGCACGCCCAGTGAGGTAACTGTTGTCTGCTGTCGACCTTTTATATTATAGCCGTGCCGTGGGAGCTCAGGGGCTAAGCGCTCGCTGTAAATATCACAGTACGCGAGCAACCCGGGTTCGATTCCCGGCGGATCCAATGAAATTGTTTATTGCAATTTTACGTTCTGATTTACCACGTGCTCGGCGGTGAAGGAAAACATCGTGAGGAAACCTGCATGTTTGAGAAATAAGAATAAAAATACTTCGAAGATATATTAAGTTCGCCAACACGTATTCGGGCAGCGCAGCAGATATTTTATTGCCCTAAAACCCTCTCAGAAATAAGAGAAGACCTGTGCCCAGACGTGGGACGCATCTATATAAAGTAAAGTTACATCCTATGATGAATTGCTAATTGTTGTTTGTGCATTGTGTTAGAGTTCACAGTAATGAGGAGAAACATATCATCTTTCTATCTGGTTGGACTGGGTGGGGAACGTCTTACTTTTTTGAAGCCAGCAAGAAAAAAGTGGGTAGATTTAATGTTGTCCACACATTAAAAAACAGGGAGAAAACCGGGTATAAAATTACAGCCTACATACGACACCCTGCTGAGCACAGGCCGCCTCTCATCTACAAAACCATAATTCCACCGCGCTGCTCCTCATAACCTCACACGCTCAAAATGCATAAATAATACCAGTTACCTCACAATGTTTTCCTTTATCTGGTAACACGTGGTTAATTAACACTTATCGCCCGAGACTAGAGTAGTATTAAGTTTTGTGTAGGTGTAGGTATAATCTTACCGTGTTGTAGAAAAAGAGAAACTATTATATCATTTTTTTCATCTCGAGGCTGCTGAAGAATTAATGTTTCTGTTTCTATATCTCGTTTATCCCATTTTAGGCCAGACAGGCGACGGGGAGCAGCATCATAGAAGTAGACATCGTTAATCTGCCTGCCTAGCGATTCGAAAATGGCAAATCGTACATACAATGGAAGGGACCGAAGCCCGGCATTGGTTTTATTGTGGCCTCATATGAAGGATGTTTGCCATAGTTGCCACGCTTGGCCAACGGTTTCATAAAAGCAATTTTTTTATTTTTAGTCGTTTTTAGGAAGACGCTGTTGCCTATCTCCTGATTTGCTTCCCTCTGTCGCCTCATACGACACCCACGGGATAATATGGGGTAGTAGATCTTTTACACCGCCACTACACGGCACGGCAAGGTTTCATCAGTGACTGATAATAATCTTATAAAGATTTATAAGATTCTAAAATGACTCTCCAGAGAAAATCAGCAAGATTCTTTGGTGTCATTGTTTTTCTTGGTACTTTTTAAAGGTTTCATTATTCAAGCTTTATATCAAAATGTAGAAAAGTATTTAAAATACCCATTGCTACATTACAATAAATTATCAAAGATTAGATGTGATTCCACACTGCACGAATAAAGAACTAAAATACGTAATAACGCATAATGATTGTACATTACGGATCCATTTTGCAGGTGATTCCCCCAGCCTTATTTGCCGATTATCGACCGCTGACGTACGGTTGGTTGATTCTATAACAGTGTACGAAAACAATCATTTTAAGCGATCTCGACCAGAAAGTCCAAGTTTATCGTAATATTATTTAATTGTATACAAATAAATATTAACCGCGCTTAACTACAATTCAAAAGATTCCATATTCTTATAAATTTGTTTAAATAATTCAAATATTTATTAATGTTCGATTTAAAGATGAAGCTTTTTTGGTTCATTTTCCTTGCAATATTTGATATTTTATTCAGCGGGTAGTGGTGGCGTTAGATAATGCATTACGCCATATCATCCCGTTAATGTCGTAACAGGCGATAGATGGAAGCAGAACATGACCTGCAGCAACTTCCTGATAACAACTTTAGATTATAAAAACCTTCTTTTGGGAACTGGGTTGGATTTAGAATTGTTTGGCAGGAATTTGGGGGAGTACGGTATTTTATTTGGTAGAGGTTTGGTCCCCGACTATAATAATATCACTCACATTAAAAGGTAATGCATCGTTATCGAAAAAATAAATAAAATGCTTAAAGTATAGAAAATGATACGTTAATATTTATATAAAATGATAGTTATAAATGATACGGTATATATATATATATATACACAGTAATCTATAATACATTTTTATTATTAACTGACTTTACGACTCTGGGTTCTAGCCCTTCTGAGAAAAAATATTTTATAAAATTATGTTTATAATATAAAGTAATTATAAAAGCTATATAATATATCAGTGTTTTGTTTAGTGCAAGAGCAAGCGAAGCGAACTCGGGACATAAGGCACCCTGAATCGGATAGGTTAGGTTAGAAGGGCATGGCGGGGTCGAGTGAGCGAGCGAAGCGAGCGATAGACCCCGCCATTCCCTTCGTGGTTATTTTTTGTAAACCACTCAGAAGTAGGAGCCCCGCGAAGCGGCGCTCCGTCGACCGGGCTTCCCTCGTCTGCGCTACATGGTGCTTCTCTCCCCCAACTCTCTCCTCCCATAAATCAGGTTTATAGTCAAAAATATTACAAAAACATAACCTCGAAATTATATTTTTAAAAATTTATAAAAAAACCAAGCATGCCCGGTAGGATATGGAAATGGGGGACGACTCTACAACTACCCTGCCTCCTTCTCCACCACCTCCCACTCCTTTAATTCATTTTCAGTTATCAATTTGAGGAGTTCTATGGCATTTTCTTTTTGATTTTTCTCAAGAACTGTGCATTACCTTTTAATGTGAATGGTACTATTATAATCGGGGACCAAACCTCTACCAAATAAAACACCTTACTCCCCCAAATTCCTGCCAAACGATTCTAAATTTCAAGCTGGGAACCTACATGTTAAACGTGGCAACTGTCGTAAATGTGGTGGATATTTGCTGTACCTAGTTGCCCCAAGGCAGGCATACGTCCGGGAGGCATATGTCCAAACAACTTTTGACAGGCTATAATGTTGGTTTTTATGTAAATGATTCAATTTTATTTTTCACTTCCAGATTTGAATGGGCACTCCAATTAAAAAGATTATTTACTACATAAATCTGCAATCCTGAGGTACTCGAGTATCCCAAATTATATTCAAATTCAAATTGTTTATTGCATGTCACATTACAAATTAAAGATAGTACAATTATGATATAATGACATAATTGCGTCCTAATGTCATACAATGCGTTATTATTATTTATTTTTCTCTGCATTTCAAACCCTTGCCAGCTCTAGGCATGAACAAAGTAATCCATAAGCCTATAGAACTCTAACTATTATATCGGCTAGAGTTCTAAAGGCTTGTTGGCACCTGAGTTATTTTCTATGTTAACATGTTTGTTTTGTGTCGCATTTAGGACTGGAATAGTGCCCAAAAATCCAGCCATGCCAACCCAACACATTAAGCAAAATGTCTCCCGCAGCAGCTGACATTGTGTACCGCCAAAATTGATCGACTTTAAGTTATTGCTTCTCCACTTTTTCGTTTTCCTTGATTTCTGAAAGGTCATTGATTGAATGGCCCCATTCGTTTGCAGACCTTCTTTGGGAAAAGACAGCGTTTACTCGTAAGTGAGAATTCGGTACAAATTTTTTGGAATTTAAAAAAGTAAATATTGGCTGGTAAAACTGGTATATCTGTAAAATAACTTGTTATGTATTATTTTTAAAAGGCAAAATTCAATGGTTTGCAGCCTGTTTAGCAAGCTTCCGAAAATCTATAAAAGAACTACACGCTGTTGAGTGTAATTTATAATAGTATCTGTTACCATTATTATTATACATTAGGTTCCGACGTCATCATTAATGATCTAAAAAGCTTAGTCGTATTCAACTTTCTACAGTTGAAAGTTGCTGCACCAAATTTAAACGTTTTCCCATCTGTTTCAAAGTCCACTAGTGATAACCCTCGCTCGGTACGCCCTACGGCAGCTAATTCTAACTAGATACCTGTATCAGCAGTTATTGTAAATAAAATTTTACATAAACCCTTGAATATTAAGGCAGCGCAGAAATAAACCAGACTAAATATTTACTGAGATTTTTGGAACCGTTACCACAAAATCCTGTCAGTTTTTTTGGCTGTATGTTTATAAAAATGAACGAAACGTGGCTTCACGATCGCGATTCTGAAAAAACCTTACGTCTCCAACTCCTAAGAAATAAAAGCGAGTCCTTCCGCCAGTAAGATCAATTGATGCAACTCGCGGTGCAGACTTTGAAATATTTAAGCATCCGTCATTTTACTACGCCTTGCAACTTGTCCTTTCTTTGAATCGGTTATCTAGGCAGTAGTTGCTGCAGACCAGGAATTATTAGTTGCTCAGGATGAAGAGTTCTTTCGAAAGAAAATTTTAACACAGGTGCCTTCCTACATGGCTTCGATCTCCGTTTGCACAACGGATCTCCCCCATCCCTCCACGCGAGTTCACCATGAGTAACTAAGGTAGGTGACCTAGGTACAAAACGGAAACACGTTTTAACGTCTTAGGCTAAACTTGTAATAACTATAACCGAGTTCATTAGAAGTCATTTCTCAACGCAACCTTCTTCTTTCTGCACATTCATGGTCTGGCAAGTTTAGGTACGCAAATGTCAGTATATTAGTGGAGATATAACAAGCGCATGATCTGGCTGGTGGGAATCAAATCTACTTTGAAAGAGAAATTACAAAATTATCGTGTGAATCACTGAAGCTAGTGTTCGAATGTTGTGCTGAAACAACGTCCTTAAAGTCTCCTGTCTCACTCCACGATGCAACTGAGAGATTTTGTATAACTTTACTATACTTAGGCGGATGTCTTACTGTTTTATTTTCGCAGCGCCTTAATTCTTCATCATCATCACCTCGAAAACGTCACACTTAGCAGGTGGATTACCACATACTTGAACCTTTGAAGCTATTGCCATCGCTGGTTTGAGTAATTTAAGTCTGGCGTAGCTTAGCGAGCATACAGTAAGCTGCCATCTATTAAATGTAATAAGATTATTCTAGAATTTCCCATATTCGCCTTTTACGACACCTACGAGAGGAAATGGGTTGCCGGATTCTTTTACGCCACCATCACACGCCACCACCACACGCCACCACACACAATCACAATACACCGCATTTATTTATATAATCAGCATGACAAACGAGCACGCAGTCTATCTGACAGCAAGAGGATGATATGACCTATAGATATCTAGATCTATCTTCGATTAAGAATCAAAATGATCAGATACTTAGACAAGCTTAAGGACTAATATGGAGTGCCTCGTTTGCAATAAAAAGGGTCACTGGTTCTCTACTCTAAAGGGTACTGGTTCACTCACCATACGAAACACAACAGCATTAAGCTGCAAATTTACGCTGGTATTCCGTGAGAGGAGTGTGGTCTCGCTTATAATCATGATATCGCTGCAGCATGGCTCTACCTCGTAACAAATATGAAGAATTCAAAATAGTCCAAGTTTCAAAGATGTGAAAGGTTAATTGCTAATGTTGTGGTATTTTGTATTATATATTGCACTGATTGAATGGTTTTTTTAAATGTTTAAATCAAGTAAATAGTTCTATCTTTCTTTCACTTGGAAGATAAAATTTATGATGCTAAATTGTCGCTAGAGTGGATTTGGCTTTCGAAACTGATTTATGTATAAATGACTCAGAACTAAGATGAGTCAATAATATTTCAGCGTTGTGTTTTCATTTTTCTATAGAAACAAGACCGCAATCCTTCTGCCCGACATCTTTAAAGTTCTCATATCCGAAAGGCGCGTATAAAATATATGTTATTCTGTGCAGTAACCTTACATTCTATCTTTTTTTTTACGATGCAGCTGTATTATGGCAAGAATGGGTCTACCCGCTCGGTGAAGGAACCACGCTCTTACAATACCAAAGTTAAATAGCCGCACGTTGTTGCTGTGTTTCATATAATGATTGTGGTAATCCGGACACCTCTCTTACTGGAAACGAGCCATTCTATCTTATTTTATGGCATGATGGCGATCTTGTCAATTTTTGATCTACATCATTAGCATTACTACTTGGAACTTTAAAATAAAATCCGTTTCTTTTAAGTTTAAAGCTTAATTCCGATATAGTCAAACTTTTTAAATGCAGTTTTGCTAGGCGCACATCCCATTCGAGTAGTATTTTATTTATAAATCCAGTTCGAGAATTAACAAAGGCAATATTCTAATAATTCTCGTGACCAATGATAAATGCTGGTGACTTGCAAAAATCTTAATATCCTTAAAAAATGAAAGCAAGCGTATTGATCCAAAATGCATGGCAAATCTTCAAAAGGGGATATATTTAAAAGTCCACTAACCCATATGCTGCCGTAAGTTTCTTAAGAGGTGACGTATGGAAACAAGCCTGGAGACGGAAAACAGCACTATCCTAATAACAACTAGAAAATAAACTGCGGTTGCCAATACGCCTGCTAAGTGTGGCAACTATGGCAAATATTCCCTTTCGGAGGTGGTTTTTGGCGGAGGTTATGTTCTGCAACAGTGTTAGATAGACAGTTATGAATAAATGAAAAAAGAGTGGATTGAAAAAGCTGAAGAAAGAGATTACAATAGTTAGTAGATATTGTAAAATGAAGTTAAACTTCTTGCACTTCCCAGAAGCTTAAAATTAATATGACAACTTTTATATTAGTTAAAGCAGTCAATCATTACTATAATAATATCTATTAAAAGTTCATATTATTATCAATTTCAAGAAACAGAATCAGCCACGTGCAGTATGTCACTCTGTAGGGAAGGTTTGTTTACGTTCTGTTGCTGGTTTCAAATGGGAAAGTACCGCTTCAAAATGTCGCCTATAAATAAGCATCAATCGGCAGTTTAATACACTTTATTTTCACTTATTGTGCTACATCGATCACAGTACATAATGACTAATATATTAAGTTTTCTCACATTGATCAATGTGATTAATGTTCACTTTTATTTCGTGCATGGATTCCCGAAATCGGACGTCGATAATTTTTACAATGGTAAGTTCAAATCTTTACTTAAGTTTTCAATTATAATGTATACAATAAATGATGATAAAAATAAGAACTCAGTCCACCTAGATGGTAAATGGCTACTATGGCCCATAGACACCTGCAACTTTTCTCTTGTTTAGAATGTCTCCTTACTACTAAATATAGTTACATATCAACGTAAATTAGCAACATAATTAACGCTGGTGTTCTTTTATGAGAGCATGGGTCTTACGCGGTCGAGCGGTAGCAGCCATAATACGTCATAATCAGCTCAGCATGGCTCCATAAGTTACTTTTATGTGCAATGAATCCAGCTTAAGTAATTTAGAAATACCTAAGCATTTTGTGATGATTGCAAAGCCAAATAATTTCGGATATTTGTTTATTTTTACCAATCAGTAAGAAGAAGTGGCAATCGACCGGCCATATAGGTCTAAGAATCGACAACCGATGGTGAAGAAAGGTTCTCGAGTTGCAGCCTCGTACCAGCAAGTGAAGTGTAGGCCCTACCCCACCACTGGAGTGATAAGGGATGCAAGACATCAAAGGATACATGTAGTTCAGAGCGCGTTATTTAATGGGATAGGTCACACCCAGTAGTAGTGGATGTGTATAGTTTACGTAAACTTGATTTCTCTTTATACGCTTTTTGCAGGCACCAGAACAGATTTCGTAATATGTATTCAACAATATTAAGTAGGTATTAACTATTTAACACTGAGCGGCCTCGCAATTTTCATACTGTCCCATCAGTCTGTGAAATACGGTTTCGGTATTAAAAACGAATATGCTTCCATTTGTTCACCATATGCGTAAAAAGTTAACAATTGGAGTTTCTTAATATTCTCTACCTTTTATAGAACAAGGGTCATCCTTGCACTATAAAAATCGATTTTATGCTATAGCATTTTTGTTATAACTATGTTTTTAGTATAAATTCACCAAATGGTTAGTGGAAGCTGTAGCGCATGGACATCTACCTATCCTCGATTAAGAATCAAAATGCAAAAGTGTTGCCACCCTTTAGGACTAAGATGGAATGCCTCGTTTCCATTAAAAATGGTCTCTGTTTCTCTACATTTTTTACGCGAAACACAGCAGCATTATGTTGCTATTTTACGCAGTTATTCTGTGAGAGTGTGGTCTTTCCCCGTTCGAGCTGACCCACTCGTGCTATAACCATAATATAGGTTCAGCACGGCTCGATCACAATAAATAATTCAATTTTTAAACTAAGAAGTTGGCATTTGGTGGTGGTGTAAAAGAATCCATTACCTCATTTTGTCATGCGAATGTCGTAAGTTCTAAGGGAAATCTCAGAAATAAACTAAGTCTGGCGAAGAACGGCAGCGTCTAAGGTACAAAACGTCTGGATATTCAATCCGCTGCCCAGCATGATAAGCCCACTACAACAGCCCATGGGACTGGGCTTAACCTGTTCAAGTTTATAAAGATGGAAAATGGGAAAGAGAGCTCTAATTTGGTTGCAACGCATAAAGTAACGCTGATAAATGTATTTCAGGATTATAAATTGAAAGTTAAAAATGTTTTAACCATGACGTGATGCTTAATAATAATTTTAATTTTAGTTATAAATAAAAATTTAAATAATAAAAAGCCTGGTTAGTTCGGTGGGTGTAAACGTGTTTGATATTGAGCTTTTGCGTCAAGAAATTCTCAGTAGCGACCTGGAGTAAGGAAGTTGAAGGTATTTTGCCCCAGTGTCTCTGAAACATACATACATAAACGTACGTAAAGCCGTTGTTGGTCCTGCACCTAATCTCTTTTCGGTTGTGTCGGATCCCATCGGACTATGACAGTGAGGGAATAGAGAGGACACTTGTGATTGCGCATACTTGGACTCTATAATCCTGCCCTGCGCAAATGGCTAGTCTCCGTTGAGACAGACCTCCGTGAATGTAGTTCGGTCTGGAGGACATTATTATCATTATTAAATAATGACTATAATATGACTTTTAATATTGTTGTAATATTTTGTTTTGTTTTTTTTTTTATTTGGGAGATAAAAGTTAAAATCGCCAATTATCATACAATCTCCAAGTAGTCTTATTTTCGATTTCAATTTCTGTCTAAATTAAATACTCTACCAAAAGTGAAATTATTTATTTACATGTCTTTATTTGTAACCAGGTGCTAGCTATCCATTTCCATACTTTACTCGGGACGAATGGGAAGCAGACATCCCTATGAATGTTAAACCTCTAGCCAAACCGGTACCTTACGTGGTCATCCATCATACCTACATACCGAGTGCTTGCAACACATCCGAGGAGTGTTTCAGGGCAATGAGGTCCATGCAGAATTATCACAACAGCTTAGGCTGGGGGGACATTGGATATAAGTAAGTTTTATGGAGCGTTACGATTAAAATTTTCCTAAATATTATTGAATAGCGTGAAATAAAACAGTTACAAATTCCTTTTTATTATGCAATTATGTTTGTTAAATAAGGTAAATAAATATAAGGTCGTCCCATATTACAAGTATGAACCAAATCTAGTCCTTAAAAATATATTTAGATCCAGATTAGATACAAATTTACAGTAGCAAATAAATTGACATTGCGGTGATAGACCCAAAAACATGCAAGGCAAGTAATCAGTGTTCGTCATGACTAAAATTACTTGAAGGATAAAAAAATTATATATATAAACTTGGCAACAAAAAAAATATTATTATATCAATAGTTGTATCAATCAACGGACTTATTGGTAAAAATATAGATGATTACGAGTATATGTCCAAGTTATCTACTTAGTTTTATACCTATTTTTTTATAAAATAAGGGAAGGGAAGATAAATAACGAGCACACAGTCCACCTGATAAGTGGTAAGTGGATACTGTGGCCCATAGACATCTACATTTATCCTCGATTAAGAATCAAAACGCAGATACGTTGTCACCCCTGAAGACTAACATGGAATACCTCATTTCCAGTAAAAAGGGTGTTCAGCAGTATTTAATCTGGTATTCTGTGAGAGCGTGGTCGTTTTCCGGTCGAGCCGACCCATTCGTGCTACAACCATGATATAGCTGCAGCGTTGCTCTAAAACGTATAAAATTACTTTCAACATTTAAATATTAAAATATGTAAAATGATAAATTACCTACAAATTATTCACTGTCAATTACATTAAATTACAATCTTCCAAAAGGTGGCCACAAAGTTTTTCGTAAACCATCTGCATCCATTGGGTACCATCACGTCGTCACTTCGTCAATTCAATAGAGGGGTTACCGCACAAGAACCTTTCTTACCCACCCGTTGTCGGTTCTTCGAGCTAATGAATGGATCGGCTCAACCGAGCAAGGACCACGCTTTCACAGAATACCAGCGTAAAATAGCGGCGCAATGCTGTTATGTTTCATGGAATATGCGTGACAAATGAGCACACAGTGGTGGTGGGCATACCTGATGGTGAGAAGATGTTGAGGCCCATACACATCTACATCTAATCTCGATTAAGAATCAAAATGCAAATCGGTTGTCTGCGAATGCGAATGCCTCGTTACCAAGTAAAAAGGGTCTCCGGTTCTCTACACTCACGAATATGAAACACATCAGCAGTAAGCTGGTATTTTACATCGGTATTCTGGTATCAGATTAATTTAATTGCAAACTGTAAACAAAATGCCAAGTGAACGTATTTATATCAAATCTCTGAGAAAAAGTTTGTGTCAGTGCATAATTAACAGGACACTAACAGATTAAAGGATGATTCTAAATGTTTGCATGGCGCACTTAACATGATGTTGGTAAAGCAAAATCCTCACCTGCAAAGCTGCAAGAGAAAGCTGGAATTATATAAATAAAACCTCGAAGTGACAGGGGAATACTAATACGATCTTGTGATACACTGCGGTGTAACCATCTAATATTTTTACCATATTTAAAATAATATCTCGACAAGAGACTGGAAGCAGTATACAAGGTGCGCGACATTTGGAACTGCTCCCGTACATCTCCCTACCAAGCGAAATAATTACAGCTAATCCACTAACGGGAGATGTTGAACACCGAAAAATGACAACTGCCTATGTTTTAATTTTCAAATTACATTTTTTTTAGTTATTGCATCGGTAGCATGGGTGGCGTATACGAAGGACGTGGCTGGAACAGCATTGGCATCCACGCCGGGCGCGCTAATAATTTTAGCGTCGGCATTTGTTTAATTGGCGACTGGAGAGGTATCTAACGTACACAATTTTGCTTACGTCATCGATATATTGTTGAGTTGTAGCTTAGTGGAAAAAGTGTTCGTCCAAAAATTTCATAGTGCCTATTTCTATCTCCATTACCAGCAATTTATTTGTAAATTGCAATTTTCAATACTGATTTACTTGCGTACTTGGGGGTGAAGAAAGAAGAGTTTACCAACTTCCTGATGAAAACGTCGCCGAGTACCGGCACAAACTTGTGTCTGAAGTCGAGACTATGTTGAACAAAATCTCGGACTGGGGGCGACTAAATTTGTCCAGTTTAATCCCCAGAAGACACAAATTTACGCGTTTACCGCTAAAAAGAACCCCTTTGTCGTATCTCCTTAGTTTCAAGACACTCTCCTTATTACCTCAGCCAGTATCGGAATCCTCGGCGTCGACATGTCGAGTGACGTGCAGTTTCGTGGTCACTTGGAAGAGAAGACCAAATTGGCCTCTAAAAACCTTGGCGTGCTCAGCAGAGCGGGACAGTATTTCATGCCGGCCAACTTTACAAGGCGCAGGTTCGGCCGCACATGGAATAATGTTCCCATCTCTGGCCGGGGCTTCCTAGTGCCAGCTTCTTCAATTTGATCGCATCCGTTAGAATCGTCGGCGACCGAGCTCTTTCCGATCGGCTTGACTCATTGGCACTGCGAAGAAATGTTGCATCTCTTTGCGTATTTTATCGCATCTACCACGGGGAGTGCTCTGAGGAATGTTCGGACTAATTCCATCCGCACAGTTTCACCATCGCACATCGCAACAAAACTCGCGATACCATTCATACCATCTGGATGACTGGCGGTCCACCACTAAGCGATTTAAAAGAAGTTTTCTTCCTCGCACAACTTTCTTGTGGAATCAACTAACACCAGAGATTTTTTCGGATCGATACGACTTAGGGACCTTTAAGAACATCTTCAATCCCCCTGGTGTTGTAGCTGTTCATGGGCGACAGCAATCACTTAACATCAGGTGAGCCGTATGCTCGTTTGCCCCCTCTACTATAAAGAAAAAAGGCATTAGTAGCATAAACCACATACAAAATCTGCAAAATGTACAGAAGACCGAGGAGTACAATCTGCAACTTTTCCTTGCGTGTATTGACTATGAGAAACCCTTTGATTCCATCAAAATTTGGGCAGTGTTACAGTTCCTTTAACAGTGCCATGCTGACCTGGGAAAAATAGTCCAACTAGGTAAGAGCAAGAAGTCAATCGACGGATTCAACTCGGCTGGGCAGCGTTCGGAAAATTACAACACATCTATTTGTCAGGTATACCTTAGTCTGAAAACCAGATTTTACAACCATTGTGTGTTGTCAGTGATGAATTATTGATATGAGACGTGATACTTCACAGCTGGCCGTATGAGAACGCTAAGGGTCGCCAAGCGAGCTATGGTGGGAGCTATGCTCGTGGTCTCTCTTTGTGATAAACTTAGAAATGTGGATATCCGCAGTAGAACTAGAGTGACTGACATAGCCCAACGGATTAGTAAGCAGAAGTAGCGGTGGACCGGCCATATAGCTCAATGAATCGACAACCGATGGGGAAAAAAGGTTCTCGATTTGCAGCTTCATACCGGTAGGCGTAGTATACGGCGACCACCCACTAAATAGTGTCGATGGATGCAGTTGGCTCAGGACCGTGCTTTGTGGCATTCCTTGGGGTAGGCCTAATGTTCAGCAGTGGACTTGTGAATGGCTGTAGTGATAATGATGATCATGATGCTCTGCTGAACTGGTCCTCTCAAATACAAGGAAAGATTGAATAAAACTAAATTTAGATTTTTCCGTTTTTTTTTTTCTTATTTTTATTCACGTTTCGGGTGCTTTAAACTGGTTGGTCATGTCGGATTAAAATGTAGTAGTGAATAAAGATATTTTTAATGAAATTACAAGGAAAGATCTTAGATCGACGCAATAATTGATTAACAATAGCAATTTTTTTGTTGTTGTTCGAGATATGTCTATGACAGTGAAACTCATAGTACATTGAGATTTTACATCTGATTTAAAACCAGATAGTATCCGTCATACATATTTAACTATGGACTATTTATGGACCAATGGATAAATGATTTCCGCCTCAATGTATAAATAAGCCGTTGCAATTTAGGAAATAAAAGTTCCATAGTACTTGAACAAATGAGTTAGATTCATACGAGAACCAATTAGATAGTTAGCTATAATTTTATGTCCTGCTTAACCACGTACTTGGTGGCGAAGGAAAACATTGCAAGGAATTAACAAGCAAACAATCCACACTTATATGTATTATAGAATATTGCGTTTAAAATAAATATAAGATTTTCTGATTTTCACTCACAATAATTATTTTTTTTTACAGTGGCAACACCACCTGAAGAAATGTTGGAGACAACAAAGAAACTTATATCTGTTGGTGTTGAAAATGGATCTATCAGTCCTGTTTATAAGCTCGTCGGACATAACCAGACCATGGCTACCGAGTGTCCAGGGCCAGCTCTCTTTAACATAATTTCAAAATGGGACCATTACACAAAAGAAATCTTGAAATTTTAAAAAATTACTAAATTACAACATTTTCATTACCGTAAACTTAAAAAGATTAATTTTAATTTAATTTATTTTTTTGTTTAGTTATTTATTTCATAATGATATAACTCGATTTTTAAGTGTTTTTTTTTACATTATTTTCGTTTCCGTAAACGTATAAAGACGGATTTTGATTAAAGTTATTTTAGTATTTTTTAATAAAGAATATAGTTTTTTTTTAATTATTAGTTAGTATTTATTAAATTTTAGTTTCTAAAAACCAATCTAGCTCACTACCTCGTATCTCTATTAAAGATGCGCTAACCATTCTTTGTTATAAGAATAAGTTATGAAATTTCGACTTTCCAAACACTACAAAGTCTTCGACTATGTCCATCATGAGATGATGTGCTAGAAACTACAACCTCATGATGTTAGAACATTGAGCTAAAATGTGTTATTAAGATATATTATGTTAAAAATAAATAACTTTATTGTTTATTCATACTCTTTATTTTAAAATGCTTCCAATACATCACTACTTCTTGTTTTTCTTTATAATCAGCCCCATAAGTACCACTGGTCATTCGGGGCTTCGTCTCGCTCGACAGCGGATTAACGGTTGCAGAACCAGAAATCTCTCACTTTTGACACTGCTGTAAATTGTCGGCTTGGGTATTTTAGGTCTAGCTAAATCGAGATGGTGTCCCCCCATCTATCCGGTAGAAGATTTTGGCATTACTATTGTGGTCTCTAACGACTCCCACGGGAGGAAGTGGGGTGATGGATACTCTCAAGCCGCTACCACACTGCAATGATTTTGAATATTGAATAAAAATAGTGACAGGGAAGCAAAACACGAAATTATGGAGGTTCTGGTGCTGTTTTAAAGTGGTAGAGCCACTTAACAGTTTAATTAAGGTTATTTAAAGAATATGTCGGCTCAAATGGGAAAGGAGCACGCTCTCACAGAAAACAGGCGTGAAATATTAGCTTAATGTTGAAGTGTTTCATATGGTCGGTGTAGATTATATCTTTGTCCTCCCGGTTGACAACGCATTAAAGATTTGATTCTTAATCGAGGATAGATGTAGACGACAGATACCACATACCATCAGGTGGGTAATGTGCTCGTGTGTAAACCTTATTCCTTTAAAAATTTGAGGCAAAGTTACGACTCGATTGTAAAATCATGCTTTTAACTGTGTAAGTAAGTTTAGGTAAGACGATGATTGATTTGGACATATTTTTGTACGTAAAACTGAAGTTACATAAGGACTTACAGTCTACCTGAAGGTAAGTGACTACTGAAATTCATGCAACCTACTGCAAACTAAAAGGCTATAGATGCGGAGCTAACTCTGAAGAATAAGATGGAATGCCCCACAGCCTGTAGGTACACCTTTCCTATATACACTTTGGACTTGTTTGGCGTTAGAATTATTAAAGACGTTGGTGCCTCACAAGGTCTCCTGGGCAGAAAATAATCCAATCAGCTAGTAAATCTATAGATCTATACATATTGATGTGTCTGTTTCTAATATTGAAATAACTGTCTTTTATTGAGCTAAGACGTTACATGCATTTAAAGCATGAGTAACGTTTTTTTTAAAAATGTTGTGTGTTTGTCTGCACGGGCTAGTCTTCGGAATGGTTGAACCGACTGTAATGAAACTTAACGAACAGACAGAGAGCATTGCCAGGAGCGATCTACGCACTAGATATGGCGTTCCGAACACTCACTATGTTCAACTGAACTGTAGTGCACTCCGTACACCTGTTATTGTTGCTTCGATATTTATGCAGTGCGTAGCGGCGCTAATAATAATTTTATATTAAATTAGCACATACGAAAAACAAACGAAAATTTAAAAAAATGTACTCGATTAACAATAAAATCTAAATAAACAATGATTTATTATGACAATTTTCGCGCGTTTATATCAACTGCGCATGCGCGACTCTACTGTTTCCCGCGCATACGCGGATACAGAGTAGGGCACATTTTTTGTTTGGAATAGCTTCTTAGTACATAATATAACTCAATGGATCTAGGCTATATTTTTAGCGAAAAACTTGGAGATATTTTTTTGATAATATAAAAATCCATGCAATATAATATTATGGTTTAAAATCATTACTTTAACTTTGTATACATAATGCAATATTAATAGATTTCTTTTTTTAATAATAAGAAAAATAAGAAACATTTTTTATCTGTTGACGATTTTTAAACGCACGGTTGTTATGACACAGACTATTGGCTGCGTTGGGCAGAAAAAAGTGCTAGCTAGCGCTTGTAGGCAAAATGGCGAAACTAAACAGTTTTCGGCCAGGACGTTTGCTAACTTCAGTAGCGCTGACACAATCCGCCATTTTGCTTATTTAATTTGTTTGTTTTGAACATTGAAGTAATATGTACTTACGTACTAGAACAGCTATCTCAAACAAAAAATATGTGTTACTCTGTGTTCGCGCGGTTGGTTATTTCATCATAGAATAAACATAGGTAGAATGACCCGTAGGTAATAGTAGATTGTATTGTTAAATAGGTAAATTATATCGATTATTTTTGTATATTATATTTGCCTATTTAATATAATATTACATAATATTATATCACAATTACATTTTAATGATATTTTTATTTCAACATTTTAAAATGTATCTATGTCAAATATAAAAAAATGTATGTTTAACAAAACTTATTAATATGACATTTAAATTACAATTATATTTAGACGTTCATAAATGCTGGGCACGCGAGAGTTAAAAATGGACGAATTTATTCCACTTTGACTTTGATGTGGAAACCTAAAAATAAAATAAAAAATAATGAGCAGATTTAATTATAAAAAATTTAGCCTAATCACGATAAATTATATATATTTCTACAAAAAAAAAAACGTGTATAATAATATATTCGTCAAAATGTCGCTTCTGAACAAATTAATTTCATAATCTATATTCCATGACACGAGATGGCGTCTTAGGAATAATTTCTTTTATTATTAATATATAATACTTTTTTATAGATTAAGTATCTTATTAACCGATGAAAAGTAATTCATAGGATTATACTGACATTTCTTGAATTATTTGTACAACACACAAAAAAGTCTCTTGATAAAAATATGCCGTATATTTTTATCAAGAGATTTTTTTTTAAATCAACACAACACGTTACAACTCTACAAGCGCCTATCGAATGACTGATTAAAATGCGGTGCATACACCGCAGTTGAGTGGAACAGAGTAGCTGAATGCAGTATCGCCTCTAGTAAGTAGTACATAATAGCTCAATGGTTTTGAAGTAGAGTTTATAAGTTGTTTTGTGCAATATTAGTTTCAAGTAATATAATGACATGAATAAACATATTATACATGTTATTAAAAATTCATGATTGGTAAGTTTTTAATATGAATACTTTACAAACATATATTTAAATTAGGTTAGGTTCCCCGGTTAAAGCTAGCTTCGTGTCCTAGAGGAAAATAGCTACTTACGATTTGACAGCGCTTACCGCTTACGATAGCCATTTTGCTTACAAGCGCTTTCTAGCCCTTTTTTTTGCGAAACACAGTCCTTATTTGTAAATGGACGAGTATTTCTATTTGCCTCCAACACGAACTGACAAAAGTCAAAATGTTCTTATGATATTTTTAAATTTTTATTAAAATTAAAACATAATAAGGTTATTTTTATCAATATAGTAAATACATAAGCTGAATGGTTAAAACAGTAATTAAAAAACTTAACTGCGTAAAAAAGTTTACTGTAAATTAAGAAATTTTATACGCTACATCACTGCCACAAGTAAGACGAATCTAACGATATCCCAAATGTTTGATTATCATGTTTAAATCCATCAAGCCGTTTGGGCTACGCACCACAGAAATAGACATGAATACGTACAGATATACCGTCTGAAAACATAACCAGCTCCCGGGGCAGTCCGGTAATAATAACGACACATACAATTTTTACGAAATTTTCCTTAAATACCTATATGGATTTTTATAATGGACTTCTGTTAATATTACTTTGATATCAAAGGTGACCTTAAGGTCAACGAAATATTTTCTTGCAGAATGATTCACTGGCATGTCAAGATATGTTTTTTCTATGTAGTGAACAATAATTAGTTTAAATTTCCTACTAAAGCATAGTTATGAAGATTCACATAGATATGAAGATCTAAATATACTCGTATAATATACAAAATGAAGTGTCTGTCTGTAACAATAACTTAACAAGCTCAGAGGGTTACTGGATGTTCTTAAAACGTAAATACCTATTTTAAATTTTTTTTTGTCTAAGTATCTCTTTCTCTGGCCTTATCTTTATAATGTTTCACCTTTTAAAAAGTTTCATTACTAAATGTGACGAAAGTTTTTAAAAGGTTTATTTTGAAGTCATATTTTAAGTACTAGATACCTATTGCAATAATGATCGAAACAACGAATATATACAAAGAAGTAGTCACGAAGGATCACTCAATCCATCATCATTCTCTAAACCATTTCCCATTATCTGGGGTCGGCGCAGTAAATCTTCTTGTTCCATTCCTCTCTATCAGCCGTCATTTCCATACTTACTCCTTTCATTCTCATATCACTCTTCACACAATCGATCCATCTTTTATTCGGCCTTCCTCTGCCCGTGTGTCCACGTGTGTACATTCATATTCAACACTCGTTTTGTGACATGACTTTCATCCCTCCGCATCACATGCCCAAACCATGCCAATCTGCTTCCTCTCACCTTTTCTACCACTGGCGCTACTTTCAGGCTTCCTCTTATATACTCATTCCTTATCTTATCCATCCTTGTCACACCACACATCCATCGTAACATTCTCATTTCATTCGCATGCAGTCTATTTTCATCCTTCTTCTTGACGGCCCAGCATTCACTTCCATACATGACGACAGGTCGGATGATCGATTTGTAAATTTTCCCCTTCAGCCTTATTGGCATTCGGGGATCGCACGTTGTGGCTGTGACCTGTCGCCATTTCATCCACCCTGCGTTAATCCTATGCTGCACAGCTCTATCTATTCCGCCGTCACCTTGAATGAGGGAACCGAGGTACTTGAATTCTGAGCAGGTAGGCAGTATAGCGCCATCCAACGACGTGGGTACAGGACTGGAAAGACCGCCGAAATCACAGCACAGATATTCGGTTTTGGATCTGCTGATGTTCAAGCCAACACTTTCCAGCCTCTGTTGCCACCCCGTCAGTCTGCTCTGTACTTCGATGCCTTCTTCCCCGACAAGCACGATGTCATCGGCAAAGAGCATGCACCAGGGTGCCTCATCCTGCAGGTCCGACGTCAAAGCGTCCATAATCAGTAGGAAGAGGTAAGGGCTCAATGCCGACCCTTGGTGCAGCCCTACCGCCACATCGATACTGCCCGTAGTTCCCGCGGCAGATCGTACACATGTACGGGATGCTCTGTACATAGCACGGACTAACCTCACATACTTCCCAGGCATACCTTTCATCTTTAACGCCCACCACAAAACCTCACGGGGAACCCGATCGTACGCTTTTTTCAAGGTCGACAAAAACCATGTGCAGATTTTTATGCACGCGCTTGTACTTTTCGCACAATTGGCGTAATGCGAAAATGGCATCTGTCGTACCTCGACCGGGCATGAATACGAACTGGTTTTGTGTTATCTCACACTCTTCTCTCATTCTTTTCTCTATTATTCTTTCCCAGACTTTCATCGTATGTGACATGAGTTTTATTCCCCGGTAACTGCTGCAGTTTTGAACGTCTCCTTTGTTTTTAAAAATGGGGACCAGTATACTACTGCACCATTCCTCAGGTATTTGTTCTTCCTGCAACAATTTACCGAAAAATAAATTCAACCACTTCCATCCATCCGCACTCAGCAACTTCCACACTTCTACTGGTATTCCATCTGGGCCGACCGCCTTCCCATTCTTCATATTCCTAACAGCCATTTTTACTTCTTCCACACTAATTTCTCTCACTAAGCCCATATTCACTGGTGGGTTTTCAAGCGTACCATTCCATTCATTCTCCTCATTCATCAATTTCTCAAAATACTCCTTCCATCGCTTCTTTATACTTTCATCGTCAGTCAAAATCCTTCCAGAATCATCTTTTATACATTTTACATGTGAAACATCTCTTCCATTCCTTTCTCTCGCTTTTGCAATTTGAAAAAGTCGTTTTTGACCTTCGGGGCTTTCAAGGGACCGATATAATTTATCTTGCGCCTCTGCCCTACAAATAGCAACTTCCTTCTTTGCTCTCTTCTTACATTCTTTATACGTCCCTCTCTTACTTTCTTTTATGGAATCATTCTGGTCTTCTACGCTCTGCCATTCTTTAAAGGCATTTTTCTTTTCTCTCAAAACTTCTCTAATACTTTCACTCCACCACCACCCATCCTTATCTATCATACGCTTCCCTTTTGTTTCTCCTAACACCTTCCTTGCCACACTTCGGATACAATCAGCCATTTCCTTCCAGCACTCATTCACACTCATTCCTTCCATATCACCCATCTCTATCATCTTGTTTACAACTAGCTCTCTAAATTCACTTGCATACTCCTCTTTATGCAACAAATGCCACTTTATTTTGGGTGGGGGACGATCCTTATGTTTGTTGAGGCGAACAGTTAAGCAGATGTCAGCCAGCAGAATTCGGTGCTGGGATACTAAGTCTTCACCTGGAAGCACTTTGCAGTTTTTTACACTCTTGATTTGGTTCACTCACTCAATCCAACACGGTTTATACGTGGTAGAGCCATGCTGCAGATATATTAGTAGTATAGTTGTAGCACGAATGGGTCGGCTCGACCGGGGAAGGACCGCGCTCACACAGAATACCAGCGTAAAATAGTAGCTTAACCCTATTGTACAAAATACCAGCGTAAAATAGCAACTTAATACTGTTGTGTTTCGTATGGTGAGTGTAGAGAACCGGAGACCCTTTTTACTGGAAACGAGGCATTCCATCTTAGTCTTCAGAGGTGACAACGCATCTGCATTTTGATTTGTAATCGAGGATAGATGTAAATGTCTATAGGCCGCAGCAACCATTTACCATCAGGTGGATTGTGTGCTCGTTTGTCACTCTATCCTACAGAAAAAAAAACCGTCAAATTTTATTTTATGTCTGCGCTAAGTTATAATGTACCTAATATTATACTAACAAACCGGTGTTGTAGTTGAACTTTCTGTATTGGAGAGAGTTACCTATTCTATTTGAGTTGGACACAACCTCCTCCTCCTCCACAGGGCCGTCGTACTATTTACACTCAGTTTGTTGATTTTATTACCCATATGGAAAAATTGGAAATTGATCAACTAATTTAAATATTACTAAGTGTATTATAAAAGCATTATTTTAAAACTACTTGAATTGTTTTTTTTAAAGTGTTTTGATTAAATATGCAATAAACAGTATACAATAAACCCTAGAATAATCCCAGGATATCAAATATTAAATCAAACCTATTTTTATTATGTTGCGTCCTTTAATTCTAGTATCATTTCTATCTTAATCGATTCTGCCTCGACCAAGGAATAACATTGTCTAACTAACATCTACCTTTAGGCGCAAATACATATCAAGTATATCCTTACATAGTAATAAAATGAAGTCGCTTCCCGCGCTTAGCTTAGATCTTTTAAACTACGCAACGGATTTTGATGAAAATTTTGCGTGCTTTGAGTGGGTCCCTGGAATTAATAAATAGTTTACCAAGTTAAGATTCACAATTAAACCCGGTCGGTGGCAGTGTTGTTGAGATCTAAAATGCACCCGCGCGAACCCGGGCGGATCGCTAGTCCACCTATAAGCGCAAATATATATCAAGTATAAGAGGCAAGCATTTTGTACAGTTCCGACTCGGCAGCTCCCAAGGAATATTGCTAAATAAAGTTCAACAGTTATCGCAGTTTTGTGCGCGGCAGTAATTGTGAGAACATTCATAATATTATTGACATAATATATGGATAAGTGGAAAGATTTTTGAGGATTTGCATGATTATAATTATTCTTAAATATATTAACTCCTTTATTATTTATTACAGTGAGTATTAATTTAGTGCGAATTTCATACTTATATAGTGGTGTGTTTTCAAAAAAAGTTTTATTTAACTAAAACATCATTGTGAGTATTGAAGGAATTTTAATAAATACATTTTAATTAATAGTTTCTGCAAAAATTAGGTTAAGTTATTCCGCGTGTAAAAAAGTCAGAACATACAATAGTAAGGTACGTTTTAGATAATTAAATAAAAGAACCAATTGTAGTATATTTTGTTCTAATGAGATTTTATTCTAAACAATACTTCGATATAAAAAAACCACACAATCATCGGTCGGTGTTTTTCTTAATAGGATTAAAATACTCTTAGGGGAATATTTATGACTTTAACTCGTCTCCAAAGTTTGAATAATTTCTACTGTACTCTTTATAATATAAGCAACGCATGTCAAGGATGTTGATTTTCCAAGTTCCAAGTTCTGTTTTAATACGGTGAAGAAAAATATCGTGAGTGAACCTGAATTTTGTGGAAATTAATAACGCTTAGAATATGTAATAAAATGAAGTGTTGTATCTAAGTCTTCTCACGAATTACCGCGAAATTAGGAGAGGGCCTAAGCACTCACAGAATTGATAGGGGTCTACAGCCCCTATAGGTACATATTACTTCAGTGGTTAGAATTTTATTTTTAAAAGAAAAAGAAAAATATTTTTATGACAGAATGCGTAAAAATGCTCCTCAAATACTTGCGTTACAACGAATATAAATAATTTTTTATTTACACACACTTTTTAAGCTTTTCAATGTACTGATTTTGTTTTTACTTACATAAATAATGACACATTAGATTTTTAAAACAAACTCATACTTAGGATGTAGCTTGTGTGTAGGTCAATGTTAGTTTATGCTTGAGATAACAACAGCTAGCTCATTAATCGATATCAAAACAGAAAAATACAAATAATTCAATTTGTTATAAACTTAGCAACAAAAACACATCCTGGCTTGTATTGAATTGAATGTGATTGTATTTTTCTTTTCAGTAAAAAAAGTGGAATTTGTCACAATGTTCGTTTTTGCGCTCGTGTTTTCGGCGATATTTGGCATCACTATTGGCGTACCAGCAATATTACCTGGTAGGTAACGTTCAAACTGTATATAACACGTATTTATTTCTGACAGAAGGCCACAAATATGTTATATTATTATATTATGAACTATATAAGTAATTTTATGTATTAAACTACTACACAATAAATAATGGTCCTGCGACGATAATTTAACACGTTCATTGCCAAAGCTAAAATTGGAGTTTTCTGCTGGTGGCCCAAAACTTTTTTTTAATGAAATAACTCTTATGTACAGCAAATACTATTTGCGGGTGTGTTTATGGTTTTAGTATATATATTTAATATTTTACATAATATAGTTATATATCACTCGACGTCGCGTGATGGGCCATGTGGAGTGTACATTTATCCTTAGGGGCCCCATCACGCGACGTCGAGTTTTGGGATACCTTAGCACTTTTGTGCAATTATGAGTTCAAATGTAATAAAATTAAATATTTTTAGTATCAATAATTTTTATTTGTATTATATAACACAAAAAATAACAAAATATCAAAGAAACATGCAACATAAAAAAATCTTCTAAATATTTTAGAGCCAGCCAGTACAATAAGTAAGTTGACCCAAAAGTTTACTAGCTAAGGTATATGAATTATAAAAATTATCCATATAGATAGAGTGGCCAACGTCCAATTTATTTTGCATCAATTTTTCAAAAATTTTTTCGGTGTGGCCCTTTCCGGCTGTTTCATCTTCTGTGCTGGCAAACACGTGGAAATTTAAAATCAAGCCATCCGGTTCTGTGAGCACGTATAGTTTGATGCCATACTTGTGGCGCTTTCATTTGATGTATTGTCGGAAAAGCTTCAAGAATATCCGATTCGTGCAACAAAATACGTTTTGATTGCGCTCGCAAAGGTATCTCGTTTGATCGTTTCGTACCCCTATAGGTTGATGATCACTCATTATAAATTTTGTTTTATTATAATTAGTATCACTTTATACTACAAAAAAATACGTATTATTTGTTCACAACTAACTAAAAACAAACAAGAAAGCCGTTCGGCTCGAGAGGCGACGCTAAGCGAACTTACCTGGAACTATCCAATTACGTAGCACTAAAACCATCGCATGATTCGGATGGCCACGCCCACTTTACGATAGCTTAATCCTTTCTCTAGAGGCCCATAAAAAACACCGTTGCGATAACGCTCCGGCCCAGGCAATACGCTTCATACAAAACTTGTCGGACACTTCACGCGTGAAGGGCCAAATTGAAGAGTACTGGGAACACGCGTGATTGGCAATTAACGTGTTAACAAAGTATTTCAAATTTTAAGGTATTATACGGTTTTTAATTCGTGCATAAACCGGTTTATATTGTGCAATATTCAACATACCATTATTAGTCTATTTGCCTTTATTTTAGGTAGATGAACGTGAAATGTCAATTAAAATAAAAAGTTTTAATGGATACTAGTAATTCTCTAAAACTAGAATAATCAATTAATAATTCTATCTTTTGGGCATGAAGAGTAATAAAGAGGACACTGTCAGAGGAAAGGTCGAGGTACTTCATTATGTTGGATTGGTTGGTTGATTAGTGTCTACTTAATGAATGTTTTGTTTAAAAATAACCGAAGTGGATTTTAAATGCAATTAAGCGTTAAATACAATTCAGTTGAGAGACGATATCGTTAATTATTCCCAAGATAATGCAAGACGAAAAAGTTCACTAATGCATGAACGTAGAAACATAGGTGTGTGTCTGTGTGTGTGTGTGTGTGTGTGTGTGTGTGTGTGTGTGTGCTTGCGTATAACACACACACACACACAGACACACACACGTGAGTTAAGTTAAGTTAAAACATAAACGTTAAATTATACGCTCAAAATTTCTACAATACACCTAAACATTTTAAAATCTAAAATATAAACATTTTAAGTACTACTACTATTATTTATTCTGTGATTCTAATACAAACAATTTGATATTATTATTTTTAGATCCAGCCGAAAACGAAGTAATAACCCATAATTTTCCATTCGTGACAAGGTCAGAATGGGGAGCAAGAACACCTAAACAGACACCAGCGCTGCAAATTCCCGTACCTTATGTCGTGATCCATCATTCGTATTCTCCTCCCGCCTGCTATGAAGCAGCGCAGTGCGAGAATGCTATGCGCAGTATGCAAGACTTTCATATGGACAGCAGAGGATGGTGGGATATAGCATACAAGTAAGTTTTACGAAAGGTAGTATCACCATTCGAGCCAAGCGGCAGTAGCTTAATGGTAGGATGCTGACCGCTACTTTGTGGGTTCGAATCCGTCGTTCGACTTTTGTTATAAACCACACCATTTTTATCTAACACACCGATGGGCGCAGGCGATCGAGTCCAAGGCGGCTTTGGCGGTTAGTTTGGACATAGCGAAGGACTTTGATTGGGCTTGGCACAAAGCCCTTCTCTCGAACCTTCCTTCCTATGGGCTTCCCGAGATATTGAGCAATTGGATCACCAGTTTTCTGGCTGATCGGAGCATCAATGTCGTAGTAAACGGTGCACGCTCCAATTACAAGCCTATTAACGCTGGTGTTCCACAAGGCTGCGTGCTATCTTCAACACTGTTTCTTCTGCATTCAATGTTATGTTGCAAGCCGGTAAAATACATTGCTATGTGGACAACAATAATGCTTTGTACACCGTCCGTGCCAATATTTCCTTGGAAAATCTCACCGAGTACCGGAACAAACTTGTGTCTGAAGTCGAGACATTCTTATAGATATTCTTATATTCTGATAGGATAGTGTCTGCAGGCTCCAGAATTCATTTAGCATCAAACAAACCATGTGCTCGTTTGTTACATTATTTCCCAATAAGGTTTCACGACTCAGCGACACGTCCTTGTCGGCGATATCTAAAAAAATAAAATCTATGACGCTTCATAATATTACATGTTTATGTTTGTAACGCGTGACGCTGCATGCCGATAATTCTCGGATGTATGAAGGATAAAATGGTTAATTATTTATCAGTTTCTATACAGTACAGTCATGTTCTAGTGTAAGGACGAGAGAATCTATTGACATATCTGACAATATTACGAACACAGTACCACTTAATCATAATATAAAATCACACACCATTACAATTGAGCACGAAATAATTTATGATATGTTTAGTGACAAAGTGGCAACGTTTAAAAAAACCAATTAGTGCCAATTGAATTTACAGTCCGTACAGTTACAGTGGTAAATCTACTGCAGTGCATGAATAACTGCAATCAACCTCAAGCAAAGATTGTCAAAATGTGACATAAAACCTCTGAGCACCAAGATGGAATATCGCATAACCTGTATTTAAACCGGCTGTCTATACCCTTCAGATTAGTTTAGTGCGGGAAAGTGATATTTGAGGAGAAAATATGTAGATGATGATTAAGAAGCGCACTTAACTGATGTGTGGATAACCAACATTTATTAACTAACTTGGTCGGCTTCCCTCAAGGCTGCTTACCCCACTCGAGGTGCTGACCACAATGAAAAATGAAGTATCCCAGACAGACTCCTATGGAGAAAAGTTATACCACCTACTGACATCATAAGCATGTTTTGGAATAAAGCTTATACAGTGAACCACATTTTTCTATATCTGTTGGTCTTGTAGATGAAGTGATATACACATAAATAAGGAAGAATTCAAAAGAATTAAAGTATAATTAACTTTTATTATATTTTATTTAAAAATAACAATTTAGGGTAATTCATTCTCAAAAGTCACGTTCTAAACCTTTTTTGAATTTTTTGTCACCAAAATCTCAAAAATCTCATCTTTAAGATGTTACAATGATTGATACCAATAAAAAGTTAACAAATGTTTGTGTATCCCTGAACGTTTCAGTCTACGACGTGAAGTTATCTATACATATAATAAATCTGTAGAAAAGTCGTGTTTGTAATTTTAATATTTTCTGGAAAAAACAAGTCCAGAGGACTAAATAAAGAGCACTGAGACCAAATGAGAGGTTTTTAGAGTTTTTGTCCATTTGTCTGTCTATTAAATATTCACGCAAAAACTACTAAACAGATTTCCATGACATTTTGTGTATAGGTAATTAGGGACCCCGGGCTACTTATAGGCTACTTTTTCAAAAACTCGAACTGGACTAAATTTCTATTTTTTATACGATTGATGTGTTTTATAAAAATAAATAAAATATTTATAAAAAAGCCCAAAACTAGTTTTAACCGTTGTGTAATAAATAAATTGAGCTACGCTGACAATCTACGATATTATTGTTGTATTCACTTTTTCAAGACGGTGCCATCTAACGTAAAATACAAAAAGTAGTGATATTTTGCCTCATTTGTCATTATAAAGTTATTTAATTAAATTCATAATTTATTTGAAAATTCTAATGAACATTTTTTTAATTTCATTTTATAAGATATAAATAAAATTTATAGTAACTAATTATTACTTAAATAGATAGTAGTGACATCTATCGAAAATCATAAAATTAAGGATGTTTCTTGTCTTCTTTCTTAAAATGTTCGTTTAATTTCTAATCCATTAAAAGTTTTAGTAGGTATTAGTTTTTTTATCTATTAATAAACTGATAAAAATGCAATTAGTACTCGTATGTACAAAACTCTTATTATTCTTACAGTTTAAATAAAAATAGTTTTATATGTGTATTGTTCAGATCTAAGAATTTATAATATAAATTAATCGATTATTGAAAGTGAAAAGGCGGTATTTCTTAAAGTTTAACAGTGTTTGTTGACTGGATTATGATTCATGATATAGCTTGACCAAATCAATGAATAGAGATTGTTTGGCGATATAAACAACTAAACACGAAATTGCTGTTTTTAGATGTTATTGTTAAATCGTAAAATAATTTCAATACACACCGCTAGCGGCGCTTATTGCGTTTATTTGATAAAAGCAGAATTTATTCCAAATTTATGTATTATATAAATGTTAGCATCTTTGTTGTGCGATAGAGCCACTCCAGTCGCACCTCAACTTATTGAGTCTGAATACTAGAGGGTAAAGATTCGGTTGTCATAGTTTTAATATAATAATAGCGCCATCTACTTACTGATAAATAAACTAATAATAAGTAAATAACTGGCCAAATTAAATGCAATTCTATTAAATATGTACTTATTGTCTCAGCAGGTATAGAACTGTGGCCACTGTCTGCATATTTTATCATAATTGTCAATTTTAGCAAAATTACTGACAAAAATGTGTACACAAAACTTTGAGAGAGAAGATCTTTAGTTGAATATGTTGTGTGTCTATCGGCATAGCAATATTTCACCAATTTATTTTTGTACCAAGTCCGATATAAGTAATTGAAAATTAAATACACCATATTTATATCCACAATTAGTGGAATAGTTCGTGATACCGTTGGTGCAGCGTTTTTTACTATTAAATTTTTTGTGACAGTCCCGGTTGCATAGCTCACATGAGTAAATGGACAAGTTCTTATGAAAAAGTACTATAAATATCAAAGAAGGCAAATTTTAAACCCGGGTTTATTTTAATTTTAACTATGGATAGAACTGCAACCGATTCAAACGTAAATTCCATAGTTGGTACGTTGCTTACGTACTCAAATTAGATCCGCGAAGAATCCACTCATATTTTAACAGCAATCTGATGTTTCGATTTACCACGTTCTCGGCGGTGAAGAAAAAGATCGTAGGAAATCTACATAGGTATCTGAGACGTTAAAAATATTTCGGAAATCATTTTTGGGTAAAGGTATGTGAAGTCGGTCATCCAGCGTTTGACCAGGATCTAAGATTGTATGACAAATAGACCGGGTATTAGCAGTAGTATTTACGCTTGGCAAGCGGGTTGTCAACCGCAGCTCTTTATTAATTTGAGCTGTTATCAAGAAGATGCTACCCATTTCCTATTTCAGTTTCCCTCTGATGCCTCTTAAGACACCCACGGGATGGAATGGGGTAGTGGTTTCTTCTTCGCCACCTCTACATGGCTCATATATTATTTCTACTCCTTCATCAATTGGGTTTGCAATAGTTAATAAAGTTGAATATTTGCCATAGTAGCCACGCTTGACGTGCGAGTTGCCAACTGCATATTTTTAATATTTTGAGCTATGATTAGGAAGACGCTGCTGCCCATGTTTTGTAGATTTCTACTCCTATTCATGAATTTAGTTCTTCTGACATGTTCTCCGTGAATAGAACTACATTTATGAAATATTGAAATCTACTCGAACGTAAAAAATACTGGCGTGGCATGTGGTGCTAATCAATATTCAATGGGATCAATATTAATAAAGACCATGAAATTAAACCTTATTTTATCAAGGCTGTATCAACTTTAACAATTTACAAAACCTAGGTCTTTTATCTCACTAACAAAATGACTACTTCACCACGTTAGAAAATATTCTTGACAATCTTACACCTATCTATTGTCACAGTATTATTATGGGTGATTTTAATACTTGTCTTTTAAAAAACAACGCTAGATCAATAAAACTTAAATCTATTATTGAAACAGCAAATTTAAAACTTGTTCCTACTTCTGCCACACACTTTTTCCCGAACTGTGCCCTTTCTCTTCTCGACAAACTGTTTGTCTTCACTTGACCATGTTCAAAAATTTTGGCAATATGCTGCGGATTCTTTTTCCTATCACGACCTTTTATACTTGTCATACAAAATCCGTCCCCCCTAAAGCTAAGTCAAGTATACTACTTCAGCGTAACTTTAGTGACTTGGATTTGTAGCAGCTTTTAAATGACGCTGTAAAGATTGATTGGAGTGTAGTCGTCAATGCGTCTACTGTTGATGAACAGGTTGGTTTGTTCAACTCTCTGTTAATTCAGCTTTACGACGTTCATGCTCCTGTTCGTCCAGTGCGTGTAAAGCATCCTCCCTCTCCTTGGCTGACCGATGATATAAAAAAATCATCCACATTAAAAACTGTGCCAAAGCTAAATACAAGTCGCTTCCTACCGATTTGAATAGAGAGAAGTATAGATTAGTACGGAATCGTTGCAATAATCTGTGTAAAAAAGCACAACGACGCCATATCCATGAATCAGTACAAGATTCTGACCCTGCTAGGGTCTGGAAATTTCAGAAGTCCTTAGGAGTTGGGAAATTACGACAAAATCTCACACACCATAACTTTGGTCTCAATCAACTTAATTTGAATTTCTCATCTTCGTCTTGCATTAACGATAAAGCAAAACATTATACTTTGGACTCTCTTTCAAAAGCTCTCGCTCCGGACACCTCTGCTTTTAATTTTAGCCAATTTAACAGTTGTGATTCAAACATTCAAATTCGATTGGTAGTGACTGCATTAGTCGGAAAATGGTCACCCCTCTCATTGATCTCCTTTTACCTATAATCACGTCTATCCTGAATAATTCATCGAATTCTGATTTTTTCCCTTCAGCTTGGAAAGACGCATTTGTAGTTCCTCTTCCGAAAAAGTCAAATCCCTCTAGTTTTTCTGATTATAGACCTATCTCTATTTTGCCTTTCTTTTCGAAAGTTCTAGAACGTCTTGTGCACAATCAATTAAGCACCTATCTTTTAAAACACAATCTTTTAAACCCCTTGCAACCCGGTTTCCGTCCTGGCCATAGTACGACTACTGCACTTTTACAAATCACTGATGATATTCGGTATGGTATGGAGAAACAAAAGTTTACCATTCTCACGTTGCTTGATTTTAGTAACGCATTTAATACTATAGATTTTGATATCTTGTTAAGCATCCTACGCTCTCTCAACATATCTCCAACTGTAGTTGACTGGTTTCGAAGTTACTTGTTTGGTCGCCGACAGCGAATTCAGGTGCAAGAGGTTTTTTCACAGCACAGGTGCAAGAGGTTTTTGTACAGCTGCTGGTGTACCACAAGGTGGCGTGTTGTCTCCTCTCCTTTTTGCAATTTTCATTAACTCTATAAGTCATAATTTGTCCTCTTCCTACCACTTGTATGCTGATGATCTCCAAATCTATACTCAGTCCTCTCTTGAAGATCTATCTAAAGCAGTTGACACTATTAACGCTGATCTGAATTGTATTTCGAATTGGAGTAAATGTTATGGCTTAATGATTAATCCTAAGAAAACTCAGGCCATTGTCATCGGTAGTTCTAGATTAATTGGTAAAATTGACTGGTCTTCCCTACCCCCTATTATATTTGACTGCACTCTTGTATCTTGACTCCTGTATGTCTTGGCCCTCACAGGTTAATGAGGTCAGTAGAAAAATGTTTGCTGCGTTAAGCTCTTTACGTAGATTACGTAATTTTCTTCCCACAGCAACTAAAGTTACGCTCGCCCAGTCTCTACTTCTGCCTATCCTTGACTATGCTGATATTTGCTATCTTGACATTACCGAGGAGCAGCTTAATAAGCTTGAGCGCATTCAAAATTTATGCATTAGATTTATATTTGGGCTTCGCAAATATGATCATATCTCCGAATTTCGCAAACAGCTCAAATGGCTCCTGATCCGCCTTCGCAGGAATACTCACATTCTCTCCGCGTTGTATAGTGTGCTGTTTAATCCTTCTACGCCTCTTTATTTAAAAAACCGTTTCCAGTGTCTTTCTCTTACCCATAATCGGTTCCTTCGATCCTCCGTCAATCTTTCTCTCTCTTCACCTTTGCACTCTTCTTCCTTTTTCAAGAAATCCATCACCGTAACCGCTGTGCGATTGTGGAACTCCTTACCTCTCCATATTCGTCGTGCGAAATCTCTTCACTCTTTCAAAATTCTTGTTAAATCGTATTAGTTAGAACGCTATTAGATAAATTACTTTACCTTTCTCGTACTCTTTTCATTTAATCTATTAAATGATATTTTATATATAACTTTCACTTATTTTTATTTGTATGTATTATTGTATTTTTTTATTATTATTATTATTTTGTATGCCCCCCTCTATTTGTAACTTTTGTTTGCAACATTCCTCTACGCAAAGAAGAAATCACTTTCAGTGATAAGACCGCCTATTGTACATACTTTAATTAGTTTTAACTATATTGATGTTTCTGTATTGTGGTGTACAAAAAAGAATAAATAAATAAATAACAAAATGGTGTGAATCCTTTGTGTGCCCTGGTATGTCCTCTCGGTGGTGACAATATTTTTGCCAAGTGTTTCTACCTAAAAGTAGTACGTATTATTAATTAATAAACCAAACGGTACGTGTTTCAAATTTAGATGTACTTAATAATAATAATATATTAATAAAGTTCATGTAACACTAGAATAACAATAATCACATTATAACTTTCACTTGATTTATGATTTATAAATCCATTAAAATAGTTTAATTTCGACGTGTAAAATTCGCCTAAATATTAGAATATCACGTTTCAATAAACAACTTAATGCTATTACTTATAGTGTAATCTACATTGATACTATACTTTTAAAAAATGTACAAGTCAATACCAAAACTGTCAAGTATAGAGATGGTATAGCGGAATCCAACAGCCTTACGGTTTTTCATAATATGAAGATTGTCTTCTGTGAAGTAACTTGAGCATAGCACACTATTTTTGGTGGGAAACCATTGGTCCCCTCGACAAGTAGCGTCGATCCACATCTTTTTCCTTTCGGGGCATTTAGAAAAGCTATAACATATAGGTACCAAAATGATACACCACATTTTTTTAATAAAATAATGACTTTACAAAAATGTTAACGATGAACAAACAAATATCTACTTATAAATCAATCATAATCGTTAAGCCTATCAATATTTCACTGTTGAACATAGCTGATCCCTTAGGAAAGAATATTTTGTCATATTTGCCACGCACAAAGTTTTGGCAAAATTTATTTATAGAAAATGAGTTTAAAGAAATATTTATTTCTAGTTTTGCAGTGGGCAGTGAAGGCGCAGCATACGAAGGTCGAGGCTGGGAAATACAAGGAGCACACGCATTACATTTTAATAGTGTTAGCATCGGAATATGCTTGATAGGTGACTGGACAAGTGAGTAATTTACCTTAGATATGTACATTTTGTGATCGATCTCCACTATCATTATCCGTATTTGCTCTAGAATAAATAAGTATAAACATAGATTGGAATTTACCTCTGCTATCTAGCATATATAGATATAGTCTTTCACTTTCATGCGTCATTTAACGAATATCTTGAAAGTTTTGTTCACACAAAAGTCATAAAAAGTGGGTTTGTGTGCATAGAACCAATACTATATTATCTATGGCCAATCAGGAGGATACCCCCCAACCCTTCCCGCAGTGGCGAAGCTAGAGCTCCAAGCTAGGGCAAGCCCAAGATATAAATTAATAAAAATATAGATTGCTGTTTTTAGCAGTTTTAAAAAAATATAATCACAAGGAACACTATTATCCTCCATTTTCATTAAAAATCTTTAAAAAAGCATAAATTTTGAACTCGTAATATTAAATCGCTTAAGATAAGCACACAGAGTAAATAAATATTGAAACGTGAAATGAACTTGCAAACGTATTGCTCGCGCGCCTCCGCTTTTAACAAATTTATTCCCAAAAGCCTGGCTTTAAATCTCTATACTAATTGCTATATATACAATCGTAGTTATATTTCATTATAGAATATTTTGCCATAGGTTAGAAAGAGAGCGATCGTCTTCTCGAAAGCCCCGTAAAAAGCCCACGCGAGCGAAGGAGACAACTATTAGCTCTATTAAAACTCATTTTTATGACAGCAGCAGTATCGCTAAAGCAATACGAGGTCATCGGTTGACATGTGTCGAACAGTGGAGTGCGCGGGAAATTTGAAATAGCTTGAAACATTCTACGAGTTATTTTATTAGTTGATATTATTGATTGATTCAGGTTTAATAAGGCAAGCACGGCTTTTCGGCTTTAATGGAAGCTTCGCCACTGCCTCCCCGCACAGTTAACGGTTAAATAATTTAACATTAACAAATGATATTGTTTAACCATGTTTAAAAATAATTTCGGACTAAAGAGCGGGGGACTGACTAATAGAACAAACTAATAATTTTCTCTATACCATTCAAATAAAATTGTGCATATGCGTTATTTACCACCCTTTTTTCTATCTGAATAATTTAATGAGAAAGGGTCTATATATTTTTTATCAGATTCGTTGCCACCGAAGAGGCAAATCAAAACAGTCAAGTCACTTATTGCGCAGGGTGTTGAACTTGGATACATCAAACCCGATTACAAATTAATAGGACATAGGTGAGAAAAAATTTAATTTTCTAATCAGATAAGATCGTCTTGTCATCAAAATGTGCTAGATATCTATGCAGTGTAAGAGGGCAAAATAATCTTGTACTCACGAAGTGTGAAACTTACACCACCAAAATAATTATGTTCTTCTTTACTTAAGATTTGTTTTCTGGAACAGGCAAGTACGCAACACGAAATGTCCTGGAGACGCATTATACGAAAACGTGAAGACTTGGGAACACTACGCATCTTTTCCCGCTACACCAAAAGACCTTCTTCATGTAGAAGAACTGCCCGAATATGTTAAAGCATTTTTGAGAACAAATACCACTTTACTAGAAGAATAACAAACAAAGTTGTGTAATTAGCACTGTTATAATTTATTTAAAACTGTAAACATAAATAAAGTTTACAAATGTGTAAAGCAAAACATACTTATTTCGTATAGCCCGCCTTCGTTCGCATAGAATCTTTGTTAGCAATGTGTTTGTTTTAAATGTGATATTTTTTAAAACGATACTACGAATTGCTTAAACACCGAGGGTGGCGTATCCGTTCAGTATTTTACTTAAAATAAAACTAAGTAACGTTGAATATGCACTAAGATAAATATGAAAAATTAACAATTATCGTATTTTACGAACACAACATAAGGTTCCTTGGATTCCAAACTTAAATGATAAGGAGGTAACGATAATTCGTTTGCCGTGTAGTGGCTACATTACGTCGTTACGTCCTAAGGATGTTGTAAGACGTGACTTTGGGAAATGCTAGAAAACCTAATGGGCGCAGTTATTTTTATGCCATCAAAAACATAACTTGTAAAAAAAAAACAAGTCTCGCAACTCAGTTCTACCGTAAAAAGTTGTGAGATCCATGTAATACCAAGTCGGTAAAGGGGAATGCCCACTCTTCATAGACATTTCGGCCATGGGTGCCCACATATAAAAGCATATAGATATGATAATATACAATTAAAAGAATGAAATGGTTAAGAAATTGGTTTAAAAAAAGTCGGGAATTATAAGATATAAAAGTTTTTATTTTCACAAATACAGTTTGTTAACAACTAATTTTACCGGTTTTCTCGCGTTTAATTTCTTTGATTTTTAATTCCCGACGTTTCGGGTGCTTTCCAGCACACATGGTCATGGGGGATTGAGGTGACTGGTGTACCGAAATCAGTGTTAACTTGGAGTAACTTCAGCTTTTTAATAACTATTTATGGTCCGATATACGCAGAATGAACTTACTGTCTTAAAGTTTGCGTGGTATGCTTGGGTTTAGTTTTAATTTTATTAATTACAGGATCCCAAACAGGTGGGAGTACCCAGCTTCCTTCTCTATTGAAATTAGAATGTTTTTAATTTCAATAGCCTCACATATCATCCTTGGCAGGAATCGATGCTCTTTCGCGAGGATTTGTGGTCTATCAAATCTGATATTATATGTATCTTCTTCAGCGGCTTGTAGAATGTTCTAATAGGAGCTCGCTTCAAGATGTAGCCAATCTTGTCCGTAACACCTCTGAAATATGTTAGTACAGCAGGCTCGACTGTGCCCGACTTCACTCGGTCACTGTGACATAGGTGCGGGACCCGAAGCTTGTTGTCGTGCAGAACTTGCTTGACGTGCTGAAGCTCGGCAGCCAGGTGTTTGCGCTCACAGAAATGTATTTTTAGGAACAGTTAAATTGTGCAGTTGCGTTTTGTTAAGCTTTAACCTTTTGAGCGCCACGTCAAAAACGCATTACCGTGCCCTGTACGCCAAAGCGCCAAAACAAAATAGTGTTGCCAAGAGATGATATATCGATAACGTGAAATAACTTGTTTTTGTTGGTTTTTTATGCTATAAATGACTCTTAATAAACTGTATGTTTTATTTAATCTTGTGCCGTCTTCCACTCTTTTTATATATGTACTTTGTACATATAAACATAAATAAAAAACAAACAATAACAATAAAATAGTAGTAAACCACAGCACTTCTCTCCATCCTAATGACGACACTGTCGCGACTGGACGACAACGGCGTAGCTGACCTTCCTTTTTGAAACATTCTTAGAATGTTGTGTATCGATTTCAAAATCGATCTAACCGAAATATACAGACATCGATTCATAATATTTTATGTGTCGGGGAAGGCGTAGGCCAAGTGACGCACAGAAGAAAAGTCTTACACTCTTATGACAATGGGGATTTGATATGATGCTGATGCTGCTAGATGATTTTGAGACTGAGAAAGAAAATGGCACAACACAAAATGAAAAATTGCTCTTCACACCCTAAGTAAAAAAAACATTAATTGTAATTTTGTGTTATTATTAAAAAAGGTACATAATTATTCATTAATCAACAATTGTATATAATTATTCGCACTAGGTAAATCAGCCTTATAATACTAAAATCTTGGTCATGGAATAGATAAACATATTTGTTCACCAATCAATCAAAAATTCAATTAATCAATCAAAAATCAAAATTCATCATCATCGACGCTTTCCAAAATCCGAATGAGTTCTGAGGAATCGTTCATGTTGCATTGCTCTACTTTTCTCGGTAATCACTTATGACGTCATCAGGGTGTCGTCTATCCTTGATCACGGTGCCCAGTGAACTGATTTTCGATGACGCGCTAAAGATGCGCTAGAGTTGAGATATTAGATTTATTATGCGAAGATAATCTGATAACATTTTTTTATTCATGTAGCTAATTATAGTTTTATGTTTATAACCTTTAATTTTATTCAAATATCAATAATAATAGAAAAAAAAACACCATTGAGCTGAATTTTGGATAGTTTTCAAGAAATCTATGCCTCCCGCGTTTGACACTAGCGGTCAACCATAGACGACTTTGGCGTGCTGGACATAGTATTTGCTTAGATAAAAATCCATTTTTATTAGTTCAATGTTTCTTAGTACTTGTGGCTCTAGAAGACTTGTTTTTTATACTCACATGTTGCTGGGTTATTCCTATTTTGAGGAGTGTAGAATTAAAATACCTGTAATAATTTTCCAATATCTATATTTCATATTTTTGGGGGCCGGGTTTTTTGTCAACTATAGACGTCGTTGGCGCTCAGGGCCCGCAGGTGTTGGGCAAGTATAGGCGACTTTGGCGCTCAAAAGGTTAAAGGATTCATGGTAAATCAGCTGGAAACTAACTTGTTTCGTTATCATAACATGATTCTATTTTAAATGTATTGTTATAAACAGATAAGAATAACTTAACCGATCTTCTTTAAAAACAGATAAGAATAACAGTTCTTATCTGTTTTCAAAGAAGATCGGTTAAGATTAACAGTTAAATTGTGCCGTAGCATTTGTTACTCTCTAAAGAATTCATTGGAAATCAGCTAGTAATTCGCTTGTTTAATTATCGTAACATCATAATTATTTAAAAATTATATTAGCACTGTAATGATGACACCGTAAATAATCGATCGAAAAAGAGAATCGATTTTTTAAATGTGTTTTGTGATTGGCAACACTTTTTTTTATTCACAAACTAATGACATAGATTTACCTAATTTTTATTATTATGTTTCCGGTACTTTTAATTTGTGCAAAAATATTCCCATTGTTTGAGGATAAATGAATACCGCGATTAATAACCATAAATAAAGATATAATTTTTTAACAAATTCACATTGTTGGGCGTTCCATGGCCGAAAATGGGCGTCTCCCTTTATTCAGTTCCTACTTAAGGGTCCTTCTGTTTTAAGTTATTACGTAATTAGCTAACCTAACAATATTTTATAGTAACCATATCAATGTTAAAAATCTTTTATTTTTTAAATAAATAGATTGACTTGGCCATCGCATGAAAACACAATGTATCTCACAAGTAATACATATTATATTAAATTAGATTGCTTAGTGCGATTGCATATCATACACTAAACACTAATTTCATTCTAAATTTGAAGCTTCTATGTCTGCTAGAAGTGCCTTAGAGTTTTGATGATCGGTCAGTCAGTGAGTGACAAAATGAAGAAACTTTGACTAGTCATAATACTTAAACTACTGGTTCAAATTTAATGAAATTTGAAATATACTACGTTTATACAATGCCTACTAGGTTATTGAAAATTGAGGCTTCTAGTTTTATCCGCTACGAAGTTATAGGGGATCGAAAATGGCCTGAATTGCTTCGAGAAAAGTATGGTACGGCCTTGCCGCTTTTTTGCTCGACTTGTCGGGGGCACTGCCGTGTCCCCAGATAATTTTGGATTAGCAGATAGGAAGTTGGTTATGTTGTGTTATTATTATTATTATCCGGGGTATTCACATAGTATTCTGATCTGGTTACGCTGAATAAATATATAAATGAAAATGCGAAATATACATAAATATATATTTGATATACTAACATAAATAAATAAATAATACATAAATAAGTAAAATCCCACCCAGATGGACGCCCTCGGCAGGGGAGAACAAACGGTCGAAGGTTAGGGGCAAAGGGAAAGAAACCGACGAACGATGCAGGTGGTATCTATGAGTCTGCCTTCTGCATTTGAGCCCGGAGCGGTCCGTCACGGAGTCCCAGCCGCTTCGGATGACCCGAGAGGCTGACTGGGATTAGCCCGTATGCAGAAGCGCAATTCGCCTTCGAGAGGCTAACTCGGATTAGCCCGTCGGCAGACTACCCCACATGTCGGTCACGTCGTGAGCCTGATCCACCTATTTTGATTGCTTATCTGTTTTGGGCTTTCACGAGGTTCTCGTCATACGGAATGGTAATGTCGACCATAAATATCCTTGACTGTGCCCGGTCCATCAGCACAATATCAGGCTTATTACTATTATTAGTCCTGTCTGTAATGATGAGCCGGTCCCAGTAAAATCTGACGCGATCATTTTCGAGCATGGTTTCCGGCAAGTAATTCTAATACGCAATTCTGTTCAACGAGACGGTATTTCTGAGCGAGCTCCTAGTGAAGAATTCTGGCTACTAGGTTGTGCCTGTGCAAGTACTCAGAGTTAAAAAACGCCGAACAACCGGTGATAACACGCCTAAGTGACTCACCGAGATGGCAAGAAGCTCGACAGATGTCGACGGTGATATCCTTTAGGATGTATCGGCGATAGTATCCCCCGATATGTATAAGTAAGTATACGAGCAGGTATATAAGCAAGTATATAAGCGAGTATATAAGTATGAATATAAGCAAATATAAAAGTATATAAGTATATAAGCAGGTATATAAGCAAGCGTATAAGTAAGTATATAAGTAAGTATATAAGTATGTGTATAAGTAAGTATATAACCTAGAACATAGGAAAGTATATAAGTAAGTAAAATAGCAAGTATATAAGCAAGTATATAATAAAGTATATAA